GACACACGCCTGGGTTATAGTCCAGTCCCCGGCTGCAGCGTGCGGGGAGGCAACCTATTGATGTTTCTCTCTCACATCAATGTTTCTCTCCCTCTCTTTCCTCCCTCTCTTCCTCTCTCTCTAAAAAATAAATAAAATATTCAAAAAATTGAAAGATAAACCAAAACTATTTTTTAAAAGTGCTGACTTAGGCGAAGTCACAAGAAGAGAGGAGAAGAATAGAATCTAGAGATCTACACCTAAACTTTATTTTAGGTCTTTGACTTTAGAGTCATGTAAATATCATACATAACTATAAAATAGATTAAAAAAATTTAAATATTGAAACAGGACATTGAGTGGGTAGCGTAACTCCATAGGGGAGAACTATTTCAACCGACTTTAAAACACAAGTCTGACTCCACATATCTTGTAGCGTACACCCTAAGGACAAAAACAAACACCAAAATAAATGCACCCATAAAACAACAGCCTCATCACAAAATACTTAGATCGTTTTCAGTGGCCTGCTATTCCTTTTGATGTTGACACTGTGATTCCGAGACTCTGTACATCGTATATCGAGTGATCACTGGTGGTAGGTTCTAAGTTGGAAGGCGCAGTTAGGAAAGGTCAGGGCAGGGAACCAGCTGCTCCACGGTCATCATTTAGAGTCGGGAGTCATCACTTTGAACATGTGATGTTTTTCATCTTAGAAAATAAGTACTTCCTAGCTCTCCACCGCAGACAGGCCTGAACGTGGTGGCCAGCACAGCAGCAGCTGCCCCTGGGTGCCCAGGTTAGGGGGCTGGACGCCCTTCCCCACGGAAAGGACCCGGCGGTCTCGGAGACCTGGCCGAGTTCAGGGTCCGGGGCACAACAGGTAGACAAGGAGCCTGGGGCCACCTGTCATTGCAGAGAGCAGGAAAGTGGTGAAGTAAAAATAAAATAGAAATCAGAAAGCTACAAATGACACCCACCCGAAGAGGCTGTCACCTTGCAAATGAAAGGTGACCTGCACTGCCGGAAGGTGGACGGCTGTCACGGACCGGAACCGCCAAATCGGCTTAAATGCACATGCTCATAATGATTAAAAACAACACTCCTTGTTTCCCATTGGAGAGGCTAGAAAACCCGGTCATTGTTTTGAAAACTGGCAAACAAAATAAATCAAACATGGATTTCTCAGGTAACCAAATTGTTTACGAAGGAAGTTCTTCTCTTTCCCTCTAGAAGGACAGTAGGTAATAAATGAAGAAGGAAAGATGGAACGAAACGTCACCGTTTTCACCAGCTCCATGCCTCGGGGGCATCTGCACTGACCACACCGGCTGCTCACGTGGGAAACACGTGAAACACCGGGAAAACCGTCATCTCGTGCCTCTTCCGGGAAGGACTCCGCGGGACCCCGAGGCATTCTGGCCAAAAACGCCGACCCTGAGTTGGATTCCGCCTCCAGAGCCAACCTTGCTCTCCAGGACACGCAGGCAGGGCGCACGGCTCACAGCCCGGGGCTGGCCGGCTGCTCGGGACAAACAACCCATTTCCTCAACAACTAAGTCACAGGTTCCAAAAATAAAGGGGGGGGGAGGCAGAGGAGACCACGCATTTAACACAAGTTCAGAGTCCTGACAACCCACTGTAACACAAGCACCTTATTGGAGCAACTTAATTACAAAAGAAATTATGAGAGAAATGAGAAATTCAGACACTGGCTGGTTATTGGCTGGTTGGGTGCAATTAAATCATTAGTATTAAGTTTGAGGTGGGATAAAAGTATTATTATTATTTTTTAATCCCGCTTCAGAGATACATACTGAAATATTCACAGGTAAAGTGACGTACCTGGGATTTGCGTCACAGTCTCTGGTTTTGGGGGAGGGGGGTACAGATGAAGCCGAATCAGCCACACCTTGACCGTCATTGAACTTGAGCGGTGGCTACACGGAGTTTCCTTACGCTGCTTTTGCAAATGTTTGACATTGTCTATGATAAAAACCAAACCAAACCATTGTTTTAAAAAGTCATATGTGCATTCTACATTTACTCTTTTTATTAAAAAAATATTTTATTACTTTTAGAGAGAAGAGGAGGAAGAAAGAGAGGGACAGAAATATCAGTGTGTGGTTGCCTCTCTGGCACCCCCAACTCATCCCAGGCTTGTGCCCTGATTGGGAATCGAACCAGAGATCCTTTGGGTTTCAGGCGGGTGCTCAATCCACTGAGCCACACCAGCCAGGGCTGCATTTACTCTTATATACCTACACTTGTCTCAATATTAAAATGTAACATTTTTCAAAAAATCCTTGACAAAAATGGACACTCCAGAGAGAGGTGCTGTGTTTAAGCATCTGTACACCCACTGCATGTCACTGTCCCAGGCGGTGGGCTGAACTACCTACCACCCCCCAAATACCCACATCCTAACCGCAGGGCCCTGTGACTGTTAGTGCCGATGCCCGCAGGGACTCTGCAAATGGGACCGAGTGTTGGGGTGCGGGGGGAGCCCGGGGTTCCCTGGATGGGCCCGCGCAGTCAGGGGAAGGGGATCTTTCTAAGAGGCAGGGAGACGGATCTGACTGCAGAAGGTCACGGGACAACTGAATGGGGGGGACCAGGACAGGGGATGATGGGACACTGGACCGGGGCCAAGGGGAGAGTGGCCTCCTGAAGCTGGAACAGGCCAGGCAGCGCCCCGCCCTCAGGGCGCAGCACCCCAAAATTAGTCCCATTTCAGCTCCTGACTTCTGGGACACAGATCACCAACTGGTGTCGCTTTCAGCTGCCGCAACTGTGAGAACATGTCCTGGCGGCCGCTGGACATGCGCACACCCCATTTGTGGAGCCGAGACACAAAGCAGAGCGTGGACGCTGCCCCTCCTGCCCGTGCCCAGCAGTTCGCCCAGAAACAGGGCCACCCACGCCCGAGGCCGCGTGTCACGAGGCCGCTACCACAGGAGGCAGGGGGCTGCCTGGCTGGCTCCCTCCCGTTCATGACGTGCGTGCTCTCTGCCCTACCTAGGTCCCGTCCCTCCACCCTCCCCTGCCCACAGTCACAGTCTCCACCACCAGGCACAGCCCTGTGTGGAAAATACCCAAGAGAAACCTGGCCGGTGTGGCTCAATTGATTGAGTGCCTGCCTGTGAACCAAAAGGTTGCCGGTTCAATTCCCAGTCCGGGCACATGCCTGGGATGCAGGCCAGGTCCCCAGTAGGGGGCACACGAGAGGCCACCACACACTGACGTTTCTCTCCCTCTCTTTCTCCCTCCCTCCCCCTCTCTAAAATTAATAGATAAAATCCGAAAAGAGAAAAGAACAGACCCTAGAAAGTGTGCTCCCACAACAGCGGGAGGAAAAGCAGTGCCCGCGGTCAAGGTCGTGGACGTGTCTGCTCACTGGAATGCGTCATTGTTATTTCTCGAGCTGGCCTTCACTGCACCGTCAGCTCTGACTGATGTCAAAGGAGGATTTTTTAAAAATCCTTTTCTACCAGGGCACATTCATGGGTATTTTAAGGTCAAGATTATCATCGAACCAATAAATTCATTTCAACAATTAGTATTTTGTCAGGAAGAAGTGAAAATTCTGAACAAAGGGAATTAAATTATGTTCAGTTGGAAAATGTAACAAGAAAGGAAAGCAGGAAGGTAGGAGGGAAGGAAGGAGGGAAGGAAGGAAGGAAGGGAGGGAGGGAGGGAGGGAGGGAGGGAGGGAGGAAGGAAGGAAGGAAGGAAGGAAGGAAGGAAGGAAGGAAGGAAGGAAGGAAGGAAGGAAGGAAGGAAGGAATGGAGGAAGGGAGGGAGGGAAGGAGGGAGGGAAGGGAGGGAGGGAAGGAGGGAGGGAGGAGGTTAACTCCAGGTGTCTACCGGGCTGGATCTCGGGCACCAGCCTCGGCCTGGGCACCGCCTCTGGGTGTGTCTGGGACCGGGTCCGGCAGAGATGAGCGTTTGAATCGAGGAGCGAGGCTCGGCGACGGCCCTCTGCTGCCTGGACACGGCCCTCTGCTGCCTGGACGCAGCCCGCAGTTCGAGGAGCCGGCCCTCCTCACCTCCCGGGAGTTCCCTGCCTCCTCTCTGATCAGCGGCGCCGCCTGGTGGTCGGGGACGGGTGTGCCTCCGGCCCGCAGGGCTGCAGCCAGGAGAGGCCAGGGGGTGTGGGCGGGCCGTCTACCCTGCCAGCGCCTCGCTCTACCGGGGCGGCGTAGACCTGAATCAAGACAGGCAGAACGTTGGTGCACCGGAGGCAGAGGTCCCAGAATTCACTGTATTTGAACTTCTGAGCTCCCAAAGGCTAAATTCTAGGGCTCCTCTGGGCGATTCCTCTTGCCAGTGTCTTGGCCCCCAGAGAAGCCAGTGTGTGACTTGGAGGCAGGCCCTGGGGGAACCTGGGAGCCCTCCTTACGCCGCCTCAGCCCAGGGCTGGCTCCACCGCGGGCCCATTTCCCAGCAGCTCCATCTGTCTGGCCCCGGGGACCTCGGCCGGACAGACAGCCGGACAGACAGCCTCGGCCATTTGTGCCCGTGCGGCTGGCTGGCAGGCTCTTGGGCCTGGACAAACACTGCGCTGGGGGGACACTGAGTCGAGGGGCTCCCTTGGTTTCATTTCCTGGCTGTGCGTGTGCAGGGAAAGGCTGCAGCTCAGGGCCAGCGTCCCTCCGCTTCTGCACCAGACACTGAACCTGAGCCCAGGATTGGCTGCTCTCCTGGCAGCACCAAACACTGTCTGCACGTGAGCCCAGGGTGCCGCAGGCTTCTGTGTTGGTATTATTAACTTTTTACATATTTAAGGCGAAAGAAAAAAATAGCGATTTTCCTTTCTAGCCATTGTCCTTTCTAGCCTTATTCTGCACCTGGCTTCTGAGGGGCCTGGTGTCTGCTGTCCTGTCTTTCCAGCCCCAGCTCTGGCCTTGAAGCACTGTTTGTGTTGGAGTTGGGTCAAGAAGGGGCAGACGAGCGGGTCAGGCACAGCCCCCTGGCCATTCTCCAGCCAATGGCTCTGCTCTGTGGGCAGCTCCAGGCCTGGGGACGAGCAGACAGGCTTGGGTGACTTCACAGAAATCAGGGGCCAGCCTCCCCCAGGGACACCCAGTAGCTCCGGCCGCACGGCCTCCCGGGGCCACCGACATGGTCGACGGCACCAACACCTCGGCCCCGAACTACAGCTACGAGTACTACCTGGGCTACCTGGACCCTGACCCCGTGGACGAGAGGAAGCTGGGAGCCCACAAACGTGAGTCCCAACCAGCCGGCCGGTCAGCCAGGCAGTGGCTGTCAGGCGCAAGGGACTCCCCCCACCCTCCCTGTCCCCTTGTTCGCTCAGCCGTGTTGTGGGCCAGCGGAGCCTGACCCTGCTCTCAGAGATGCAAGTAAGGCCTGGCCGGGGCAGGGGGGACGGTAGAGACCTCTGTCATCTGCTGTAGGACGTCTGGGCTCACCGCCCGAGCACACGGGAGCCTCTGGGAGTAGCACGTGCCTTTCGGGCAGACAGCCGTCTGGACAGAACTGTCTTCGTCTGGCGCTCCAGGGAGTGAGGCGGATGTCTCCCCAGGGAGATCCCGGCTTTTCTGTCGTCGGCGGCGCGGATTGGGGAGGGCGTTATTTTCTCCGTCCCCAACACGGGTGACTTCGTAATTTCTATTAAAATCCCCACCGGGGTTCATGACCTTCCTGGCCCCGGGGAGGACGGCCAGCGCGAGCTGACGCCTTTTGCTCATCTGCCTGCCAGGCTCCCTCTCTTGGGTAACTCGGTCCTTTGTCAACAGTCTTCTCTGACTATTGCAGCTGCTCAGTCAAGGTAGCTGACGTGACATCGTGAGGAAACTAATGAGCTTGAGAAACAGGACAAAAAGCCTGGGCACTGGGGCCAGGCCCCGCCCTCCCCGGGTCGCGGGGCCCCTGGGTGTTTCTGTCGAAGGCGAATGCAGTCGCCGAAGGAGCAGGAGGCTTTCCCCGCGGCAGGAAAGGCGGTCTGGTGCCATTTGGACGGACGCCCCTGGTTGACGAGGGCAGCAGAGCCCCCAGGGAGGACCCGTGGGGTCATCCAGGCTGTCCGTGGGAAGCGTTGCTGTCCCCGTGCCACTCGTAACCTCCAGAGGTCACACGCAGGCGCGCGGCCCGTCCGCTGAGGACTTGCTGCGCCCCAGCACCTCCCAGAGCTTTTGGGAAGTTCAGCAGGTTGGGGTGCATTTTCAGATTCGAGGGGTAAATAATCAGAGACCTGAGCCGCAGGTTTTGAACAGGCGGCCTGTGATTAGGGAGGTGAACTGTAAGGAAGAGAGTGGCAGAAACAGGTGCCTACGTGTGTCTGCTGTCCAAGTTCGGGGCCCCAGGACGCACACCGACGCAGGCGAGACTCCGACCTGCGTGCAGGGCAGCCTCTGTCCAGTTAACACGCGTGCAGTTCTGCGTCTGCTCCACACACTCACGCCTGCCCCTGCACCCGACATCCAGCTCCGCCCCCACCCCTCTCCCGGCCCCAAAGCTTGTCCCACTGCTTTGGGTCGGGTCTTAGAAACCCGTGCTCTCGACCTTTGGCCCCCCCACCCCCGACCCACAAACAACTTCCATTTCCGGGAAAAGTGGCTGGTGTTCTCTCCGCCAGGGTTGGTTTGCGAAGACTTGCGCATTGAGCCAGAGTTAGGGGTTTACAGCCTGGTGACCACAGGAATGAGGTCATCAGATAAGACACCACTCCCCATTCTCCCAAACCCAAGGAGACCACATCAGCGAGGACGCTTGCCAGAGAGGCCAGCCACCCCCACCCCCAAAATCCTAGATGTTGGGGGCTTTTGACACCCACGGGAAGCGGCCGGCCTTCGTCCCCCCATGAAGAGTAGACATTCGTGGTATTTTAACAGAGATGGTCCAAGTCACACGTTTCAAGGGCTGGAGGAAATGCCTCTCTTCCCCGCCTGCATCCAGACAACCAGAAGCACAGAATCTGTCACGTGAAGGCGCTCCCCTGTCGTAACGCAACCCCAGACAAGTGAAGGAAGTGCTGCCGAGAAATCCACCGTAAAACAGCCGCCGGTTCCAAAAGCGCCTCAGTGTCTTCGGAAGATCATTTCAGATCAATGGCCGAGGGCGGGGGCTCCCACTGCACAGCCAGACCCGCAGGCGGACACGGGTGCCCCCCGGCTCCTTCGCTCCTCTTTCTGTCCCGGGTGCCCCAGCCTCCAGGCCTCCGCGGTTTAATTTCTACGTTCCCGGGCAAATGGTGTGCGGTTGGGCGGGTCCTGTCTGGCGTCACCTCACTGAGGCGGAGAGGGAGAGTGTGCCGCACACGTCTCGTCCCCGTGCACAGGTTGGCCCCAGCCGGCCTCGTCATGGAGCCTCGCTTGGTTCTTCCATGAGCTGTGGGTCCTGAAGAACTGGTTGTGGCCCATACCGGCCTCCACGGGCGCCCTGCTGTGGCAGCTTCAGTAGGAAGGCAGTCTGTCTGTCTGCCGCTCCAAGAGCTGCTGGAGGAAGTACGCAAACATACTCCTGGGTGATCATTTGTGAGCATGGCGCAGGGACGTTGGTGGAAAGATGGAGCAGAGGGCCTGCTGACCTGCCTTCCTGGCTCAGAGTGACCCGTTCAGGTCACGCCCTTCCCCATGACCTCCACTCTTCGGCATGGGTGGGGCCCTCGGGCCAGAGCGGGGAAGGTGACTTTAAGCTGCATGAGGACGTTTACCTGGAACAAACTTCCCACCCAGGAGGCCCCCACGGAGGTGTTCCACTCGGATGCTCAAAAACCTGGGATTCTTCTCTCGGAACCGATGTTGCCGGCCACAGCACATACTATGAAACGTTCGTGGTGATGTTTCTTTTGTGTATTACGTGGCTCTTTTGAGGGTCAATTCGCTTTAGGGAAATAGTTAAGAATCATGAAGAAACCAACTGGGTGAATGAAATTTGTCACCCAATATTCATCGGGTGTCAGAAACAAACTATGACCTCATAAAGTAGCAATGTTGGCGTGTGTCCTTGAAGGCCATTTCGACAGAAGAATTATAAATGTTCATGAGTGTTTGATCAATATATGTATTTTAGGAGCATTGATATGATCCTATGGTAGAGAGAGGATGATTATTCTGAAGGTCAGTGTCCATCTGGATTTGTAGGATTTGGCACATTCATTTAGAAAGTCGGCTTCTTCTTGCTGATTCAGTGAGGAGAGCTGGCCACAATGAACAGAGACCCCAAGGAAACAGAGTCGGTTTCTCTCGTCTGCAGGGCAGGTACGGGCTGGCTCCACGGCACACTCAGGAGCAAGCCTCACTTGGCTCACTGCTCTGCCATCCCTCAGACGTGTCCCTCTCCTCACGTTCCAAGCCACGTTCTAGCACCACATCCACGTTCTGGGCAGAAAATGTGGTGAGAGAATAAGAAGGGACACAGGTAGTACAAGTCTAGCAATCTCTGCAGGAAGACTCCAAAAAACTGTCCAGTAACAGTTCCACTCACATCTCATTGGCCAGGACCTGGTCACATGGCCATATCTAGCTGCAAGGGAGGAGGGAAATGGCGGTCTTTGCCCCGGGCAGCCATGTGCCCGGCCACAGGCAGAGGCTCTGTTACCAGACAAGTGCTTGACAGCAGACCTTGGGATTGACAGCTAGCAATCTATGGCACAATTACTGTACTTAACAGTTTTAGTGAGACTGAAGGACACCGTGATAAACCCTCTTAGCAGAAATATCATTCTATTTATAGACCACTTCACAACCATCAAACAAGGAACTAGGCCATGTGTGTTATATATACATATCTTATTTAACTGTGTAACAGTCTGTATAACACATGCTATCATCCCCATTTAACAGATGAGGAAACAGGAAATGGTGGAGTCAGAATTCAAACTCAAAACCACCCGCCACTGGAGCCTCAGGCCTTAACCCCAAGTTAGTTCCCAGGGAGGGGAAATCTTGGACTTAAGTTTCCACTAGGGCCTGGGGTTCAAATGTGAGTAGCATTTGGAGGAACGTCAAAATGGAGCCTTAGCACTTTTCGCTGAACAAAACTGAGGTGCCTACTGAATAGGAAGTATTTTAATTGAATTAACTTGCTAACTCCAAGTTTGGAGAGGAAATTCCCCATTGGGACTCGCAACCCAACCATGCCATCCAGAACCTTCTCTTGCCAATCCACTGTGCTGGCCTCCTTCCCCGAATCCCCCAGCAGGGCTCAGGTAGGAAGGAGGGAAGGGAGGGAGCCCGAGAGGGGGAGGGGAGCAGGAGAAAGGGTGCGTCCCGGCTGGACCAGCCTCGCTGTCAGCCAGCCTGGTCCTCCTGGAAGCCAGCCCGGAGGTCTGACCCTCCCAGCGCTGGGAAGGGCGGCCTCGGACAAAATGTTCCCTGCGGGCCCTGAGGCTGACCCTCTGCAGGGGAGGACAGGGGCCCTCTTTCTTGGCTGCATTTTCCATCAGAACATGATAGAAGAGAACTGAGTACAGAAAACAGCTCCCGATCGCCCTTTCCCTCTGACAAAATTCGAATTTCACTCGGGCCTTGGACTGTGCTCTGTGACAGGTGCTGTCTCTGGTCCTGCCTGGTGTGTGGGGACAGTGACCCAGGGCAGGCGCAGGCGAGTGTGAGCTGGAGGGGGGGGAGGGAGACCAAGGGGGAGTCCTGGACCTCCCAGGTTTTGAAGCTGTTTCTTCAGCAGTCCCGGCAGAACTTGTCTAGGCGCTGAGGCCTGAAACCCTGCCTCGTCTTGATGACGAAGACAGGAGGAGCACCAGTGTCCCCCGAAACCCGGCCCGGCCCTACAGAATGTGGCCGTGCTCCCCCATTTCCTGGAGGCTCACCCTGGGGGCTGCACATGCACCGTGATGCTGGGAGGAGTGAGTGCCAGCCTGGAGAGGGGGGCGCAGGGAACGGCGGCCCGGCCGGGAAGGTCAGCGAGAGGGACGTCCCAGAACTTGCTCCCAGCACACGGTGCTGTCGGTCGGGCCCAGACAGACTCACAGGAAAGAAAGCCAGCGACGTCTTTGAAAAGCCTTGAACTCAGGACAGACTTCGCCACCCGCGTTCGCATTCCCCAGAGCCAGGAGGTCCCCTTGAACAGCTGTGTGTTCTTGGTGCCGCTGTGAGCTCCTCAGCCTGGGGACAGAGTGGAGTGGATGTGACAGCCAGCCCGGGTGCTGCCGGCCCCGGCCGCCAGGCCGCTGGTGCATCGGGAGGCAGTGGGGTGGTCTTCCCTCCTTCCCTGGGACCCTGCGTTGGACACTAACCGTTAGGGTCTGAGGTCGACTCTTACACGTCCTCAGTGAGTCCCTTCACCTGTCCTGGGTCACGGAGCGCACCCGTGACAGACACTCTTTACTCAGTCGCCACGGTTTGCCCCACAGGGACTCACAAATCTCCAACCTCCCACGCGTGCGGCCCTCGGCGCCTTCACCTGCTCACACTTCACGAGCCTCTTTGAGCAGCACAGATGTGAGGCCGGGCAGAGCCAGCACCAGCTGGCGGCACGCGGGGCTCACAGGGAGACGCTGGCAGGGGAGGGGGCTTCCGGGAGCTCAAGGGGGCTGGGTCAGCCTCTCTGACCCCAAAGGGCCGCTGGCATGGCCTGGTGTGGTAGGTGCCTAATGAACACCTGTCGGGGGCCACCCTCGGTCACATTTGTTGAGGCCCCGCGTACCCCAGTGGGCACATCTTGTCCTGGGCTCGTGAGCATGTCTGGGTTGAGACACATGCAGACACTACTGGCGACCTTGGTGCTCTGAGCCCATGGCCACTGTCACCCACCAAGGAACCTGCCAACTGCAACAGTCCCCTAGCAACTCATGGGCAATCCTGTATGGAGCCCGGAGAAAACCTGCCGGGTTCCTCCCCGGGCCCAGAAGATGCCGGGTGCTTCCTGGGCCTCCCCGCCCGGTCAGCCTCCGCCACAGAAACAGCCGTAGTGGCCACCGCAGCTGTGCGTCTCCCTGCTGCTGCGCCCTGAGGGACCAGCTCTGCTCCACCAGGGGGCGGGCCCTCTGCCCGTCCTGCTGCTCGCCCGAGGCCCCTGAGGCCCTGTCAGGGGAGGGGGCAGGGGTTGCCCTGCCTGGGAGCTGCCCCTGGCCCCTTCTTCTCCCCGCCAAGGAAAAAGGAGGGGAAACTGTCTTCACTCAGGGGCACCCCTGAGTTGTTTACTGCTTCCTCTCAACAGATGGCCACCCCAGACAAAGCCCCTTCCCCGGCCCCTATGTCCCAGCAGCCAGGGCCAGCAGCGGGCAGGAGGGCGGGATGCTGGGAGTCCCGGACACCCCGCAGTGCGGGCCCTCCCCCTTCATGAGGGGGCGGGGGGCCGGGGGTGCAGTCCTGCATTACTCACTAATGCCCCCCCCCCCCCCGCAGATGCCATCGCCATCGCCTTCTGGGTGGGCCTGGCGGCCTTCCTGCTGCTCCTGCTCCTCACCCTGCTGTGCGTGTCCTGGTCAGGCTCCCAGCCGGCGCGGTGAGCAAGGCGGGGTGGGCGGTTGGGTGGGCAGCTGGGGGGGCAAGGTCCAGACCCGCCGCGGTGTGTCCCTGGGCTGTGAAGAGGGACGTGCACCGACAGGGACGGGCCTAAGGACCCGGTGCCCAGGGAGGGGGCCAGACGCACGAGGCCTGGGATGCCGCTGAGGTGAACGGCCTGGGCAGGTGCGCCTGCAGGCAGGGGGAGGGGCCGGCTGCTGCTAATGGGGTCGCCCTGGTGGAATGAGGAAAGCATCCTAAAATGGGCAGCAGGGTCGGCCGCAGAGCTCTGGACGCGCTGGACGCACTGCTTTGCCTGCGAAGGGGTGAATTCACTGCCTGGGAACCACGCCCACCTACGCTGTGCACCACGACAGAGCCCAGATGACCTGTATGCCCGGGGTGGGGGACACTGGGCCGCCCCCCAGAAGGGGTCCCAAAGGGGTGCCTGCGACTGGCCACCAGTGCCCACTGCAGGCCTCAGGGCTTACCCTGCAGGTCATTCTAGGAGCTCCTGGGAGTAACGGGCCTGGCTCTTCCGGAATCCTCCTGTGCTGGCCCAGGGACCCCGACTCTGGCGTCCCCTTCCAGTCCCTGCGCGGCAGGTGGGACCAGGGCTGGATCCCATGGGCTGGGGGAGAGCTGGGGCCAGGCGGTGTGGGGGGACCTGAAGGAAGCTGGCCGATGGATGCCACAGGGCCCAGGGCGTCTCAGGCAGTGGGTGCAACGGGCCAGCACAGGAAGAAGGGCAGAGCTGTGCCAACAGGGGGCAGTGTGGGGAGCCCCGAAGCCCCTCTAGGATCCAGAGGGCAGCCCCGCATGGGTCACAGGGCCAGTTCCACGAGGACCTGGGATCTGAGCATGTGCAGACCTGCCTGCCCGCTGCCTGCCCTGCGCACAGCCCCTCACCGGGTTGCTTCTCCTGCCCTGGGACTGGTCACACGTGGGAGGCAGGGGCCCGAGGCTGAGCAATGGAAAAGTCCACCCTTCCTTCAGTTTTAGAACTCACGTTGTTGGCTTCAAGCAGGTTCTTACAGCCAAGAGATACTGGTGGGGGCGGGGGGTCAACCAACCAATGGAATCACCTGCAGCGAGTCCCGGGCCAGGACAGTCTGGAAGGACGGCCAGGCCCTCCAGAGGGAGGCTCTCTGTCCAGGGACATGCCGGCAGCCGCAGCTGCAGGGTGGCTGCGCCTCTCCGGCCCCTGCTCACCCCGACGGGCTGGGCTCGCCAGGGGCAGTGCTGTCTGCTGTCCAGGCCTCATGCCGCAGGTGGGAGGGTCTCAGGCAGCTCCGTGGGTCCCACGTAAGGTTCAGGGGGCGGAACCCCACGTGCTCTGACCAGCTGCTCCTTCCATGCCAGTGTCCTCGGAAAGAACAGCCCTGCCCTTAGGTCTCTCCTGGCCTTTTCGGTCCCACCCAGCACTTCCTCTTTTCTCCCTGTCTACACACAGAGGCCTCCATGAGCTGGGCTGGCACTCACGGGGTCTGTTGGCCACCAGTGCCAGGTGCTTTTGCTGCGAGGAGCCCTCCCTGTGGGCTCCTACAGGCAGGAAGGTGGGGCGCAAGGCCCCCAGTGGGAAGTGCTCCGGCCAACCTTGACACCTGCCCCGTCTCTGTCCTCTGTCCCCAGGAACCACGCCCGGCACCAGCCCACCTGCCCCTGGGGTCTCCGCCTGGACCTCCCCCTCCGCGTCCTGAGGCACCTGCTGCTCCACAGGGCCCCCCAGGGGACCCCGCCGGCACCGCCCAGATCCATCAAGGAGCCACAGCAGTCCAGGCGGGAGGGCCCCGCCCCCTCCATCCCCATTGCCCCCCAGGCCCACGCTGCTCTCCTGTGGGAACGGGCCCTCGGTGGGGACCCCATGGCATCAGCTGACGTCGGCCACAAGCCCAGCTGGCCACCCCCTGGAGATGGAACAGACGCCAGCAACCACGGCCACTGCTGAGTGGCCCATGACACGAACCAACCCAGGCACGTGTACCACCCAAAGCCACCGCAGGTCACGGGAAGGGCGACGAGTGAGAGCAGCCGGACGGGGGCACGCACACGGGAGCCGCATGGCCGAGGCCGGCGCAGCCCACCCAGCGGTGGGACTTTCGGTGTGCTCCCCGCCCACTCGCTGCCTGGGGTCATGTGGGGGAGGGGAGAGAAGCGATACTCGTAAATAAAGATTCAAGCAACCCCACTGGTCTTCACCAGCGTGTGTCCGCCCACACTCATCGCTGCGACAGGGTGCTGGCCTGGGCTCCGCCGGCCGATGTGCCGTTCGTAGGAGGCCCGGGCCGAGGGGGGCCTGGCCAGCCTGGGGGCGGGGGTCAGAAGGGACGCCGAGGGGACACGGAGCTCCTGCGAGCAGAAAGGGCGCGAGAGAGGGACACGCACCCTTTCTGACCAGAACCTACACGCAGGACCCCGGCTTCGCAACATTCTCAGGGCAACTGTGGTGGGTGTTTGGGGGACAGGACGGGGGAGGTGACCGCTGCCTGCTGACGGGCAGTGAGCCCTACTTGTGGCCAAGGGGACCAGCTGCGGACAAGCAGCGCTCCAGGTGTGGCTGGAAATCTCGAGACAGGGTGAGCGCTGGGTCTGACGAGCTGGGGCCACAACCAGGCCGCTCTCAGCGGCGAGCCCGTCCGGGAGCAGACAGCCGCTCCCGGGGCCAGGCGGGGACGCAGCTGTGGCTGCGGGCCCGGGAGCCCCGTGGCACGTGCGTTGGGGCGCGATGTGGGTGCACCCCCCCACAGCAATGGGCTGCACTTCTGCCCGTGGAACATGCAGCATGTCACATCCCACATTCGTCAGCCGGGCCACTTGTCACCTAGCGACCGTGGGCGTGGAGTCCTGGCCACTAGAATGCAGGTCTCTGTGGAATGGCCCGTGAGCACCAATTAAGCAAAACACGAAAACTTGACAAAAATAGACATTTATTATCAGGTTTTAAAATCCCCTTTGGGACCCAACCTTAGAGGAGGCAGCCTGGCTGCCCCAAGCAGAGGTCGAGTCAGTGCCACCCCCAAGGGCGTGACAGAGCAGCCTGTCACCTAAGGAGACGGCTGGGAACCTCGGCAGTGGTCTGTTTAAGACTCACACAAAGCTTCATCACGGCTCCTGATGGACCAACGCGCCGGAGCGACCCCAGCCACACTCCCCTCGGACGTGTGTGGACGTCATCGAGGCGATGTCAGGGCTGGGGCCCCGCCCAGTTCACTGCGGCCATTTCCTCTGAGGAATAACCAGCCGCCAAGAGGAGGCCCCACTGATCCCCAAAGGCCCCTGGCCACCGGGAGGCTGACCACACACACGGTCCCTTGAGTGCACTCACTGGTGGAATAAATAAAGCTGACTTCTGTCAGGAAACTGAGTCAATGTACAAGCTTGTCACTGGCGTGCCTTCCATGGAAAACGACCTGAACTTCTAGAACCCGGCCGGCAGGGCGTTCTGCGTTGGCGTCAAGGTGGTGATGTCCTTGCAGAGCCTGACAACGGCCTCCTGGTCACCGCTTGGCGTGTCCCCCGTGGCATCACAGACCATCAGGGCATGGGCGGCGAGGGTGCCCGGCTGCGGGGCCCCCAGCCAGACGTCCTTGATGTACAGCGACAGCAGGAAAGCCGCAGAGGCTGAGGAAAGAGGACAGCGGGGTCGTCTGGGGCAGACGCATTCGGCTGGCGAGCAGTCACCTGCCTCACACATTGTGTGGGGGACACGTGTTGCTAAGCACCCCATGAACCATGTGCACACGTGGGGCCACCGAGGTGAGCAAGCAGGTAAAGAGATTGGTTTCGCCACTGCTCAACTTTTGGGCGAATCATCTGTCCACTGAAACAATGTATCTTTTTACCTGATGGACGTAGACAAAGACGCTACGAGGCACGTCTCCTCTCGGCCTGCCCACCCGTGCCGGGAGCCACACGGAGGCTCAAGGAGAGTGTCTCGGAGCCCCCAGCCACCCCTGCTGCGGGGCTCGGCGCGGAGAGGGCACCCTCCAGGCGGAGACTCCCCTCCCTGCCTGCTGCCTGCAGAGAGGCAGTCACTCGGCTACCAGCCGCCCACCGCTCTCCCCTGCTGCCTGCGTCCCCGGGAGAGGGACCGGCCCCCAGAGGGAGGAAGCCCCCGGCAGGTGGCCACAGCGTCCCCCGGGCCCTTGTTCAGGCTGCCAAGCCTTTGCTGCTCGTGTGTGCCCGCACCCAAGCCCGGGTCAGGCCCCTGCTGACCGCCGAGCACCCAGAGTGCATCTGCGCCGTGTGCACACGCGTGCATGCCTGTATACCTGTGTGTCTGTGCAACAGAAACGGTAGACACTGGGGAGAGCCCTGGCCTGCGGGGAGGGACGGTCCCCGCGGGACACGAGGCTCCGGTCCTCCTCAGCTGTGAGATGCCGTCACTGAAGGCCGCGCCCGCTGCAAAGGCCTGGCGCTGCCCCTCACCCTCAGGGCCCGGTGGCGACTGTCCTCACTCCCCGGGGCTGTGTCGAGGGCCACCCCACCCCCGCCCGTCGGGCCTGCCGGCAGGTTACCTCGTGTGGCTTCCTCCTCGCTGTCCAGAGAAGACAGGCGGAGGGTCTCGACCTCCGGGGGCAGGGGTGTCCCCTCGGGGCTCAGGGCCGCCACCAGCTGCAGCATGACCGTGTTGAGCTGGCAGGCCACACTCTGCTCGGGGTCGCCCAGCCCATCCGCGCCCCAGAGCCGGCTGTACAGCTGGAATATGCTGCTCTTGACCGCACTGTCCTTGAGCAGGTCGGCCACGAGCGGCGGCTGCGGCACAACGTAGCTCTGAAGCCAGCGGAAGAGCCCGGCAGCCTCGGCCCTGCTGAGCGGGTGCTCAGCCGCGGACCGCAGCACCCAGCTGACCACCAGGGAGGCGATGGCGTACGCAGGGCCCGGGGCATGGCTCTGCGGGGAGGTCTGGTCCCCGGGGTCCTGAGTGGCACCAGGACTGGGGAACACTGGCCCCCAGTGGGTCAGAATGGACCTCAGGAAACCCCGGCACGTCTCCAGGCTGGACGCCTGCAGCTCGGGGGCGGCTGCCTCCACCGGCTCCTCCGCCTCCCCAGGCCTCCTCTTCCAGCCCCGAGGGCCTCTGGCTCGGGCTGGCACGGCAGGCTTGTTCTTGTCCTTGAGCATCTCTGTTACAGAGAGAAGACAGGGTGAGGCTGGGGCCCCTCAGACGGGTGGTGGGCGTGTGGTGGGGGGACGAAGGGGCACCCACAGGTGCTGAGGGGGTCGGCTCTGCCCTGCAGGACACACTGCCCCGCCCGGTGCACAGCGGGTGTGTGGTGTCAGGCTGGGGTGGCGTCACTGCCGGGACAGGCCACCTCTCAGCCTCATCTGCTATGGGAGTGCTGTCCAGAGAGGGAAGAGCGCGGGATGCTCTGGGGGACGGGCGGAATGGGGACACGAGACCGGAGCTCGGGCCCTGCACGCACTCAGCAGCTCCCTGGCGTGGGATTTCTCCGCGGCGGCTCTCAGGGCCTCCTGGAGCGCAACGTCCCTCCCGAGGAGGCTCCACTTGTGCAGGAGGACGAGGGCGTCCTTGGTGGACAGCACCGCCTCGTTCACGGTGAAGCGGCCCATGTCCTTGAAAGCCTGCATGACGGTGGCCCGGTACCTCAGCACGGAGTCCAGCGCCCGGAAGAAGCTGGCCAGCTGGGTGGGGGCCAGGCCGGGCCTGTTGGGAGAAAGGCACCGGCTGAGCAGCGCTGCACCTGGCCCTGCAGCCCCCCACGGGGACGGCGGGGGTGGGAGTGAGCGCCCCGGAGCGGGGGCGAGCACAGGCCACCCACGGGCTGGCCCTGCACTGCAGACACGAGCGTGGGCCCGGCACCTGGGACAGCAGGTGGCAATGCTCGGGAGACCTGGAGGGGATCGGGTTTGACTCCACTCTGCAGGACAGACGGACGGTTGGGGCAGAGAGCCTGAGGGCTGGGTGCCAGCCACCAAACAGACGCGCCTGAGCCCACCCGTCTCACCCCCTCGGACTGAGTGGGAGGCTCCGGGGAGCCTGGGATGGCAGGGCCCACAGCTGGGCCTGACGCCAGCCACTGGGGGCACCATCCCTGCGACGTGCGAGGACTCAGCTCCATCTGCTCCCTGAAACCTGTGACCACCGTCAGAGCAGCAGCTGGTCCTTGGAGACCACGTGCCCCTGTCAGCCCCCACAGCACCCACCGACAACTTCAGAGGCAAGACCCCGCCGGCTTTCACTGGGGCCACACCCACTCAGAGATGCCGTCTGCCTTTGGCCAGTCCCCTGGGTCCGGCCAGCAGATCAGAAGTGGGAGGGACACAGAGGAGCCCGAGGGGAACGGGGCCCGCCTGGGGACACCGAGAGCATCCCAAGGGCTCGGGGGACAATGCTCAGGTTCTCAGGAAAATTCACGGACAAGGAGCCTGAGCAGGCGGGGACGTGTGGAAAGCAGAACACCAGTGAGGGCCGGCACAACCCGGTTTGGGTCTTCAGGCCTGGACCGGAGCCCGAGGAAGGGGACGTGGGAAAGAGAGAAAGCAGCTAGAACGGGGCTTCCCGATGCCACCCACAGCTGGCTGCAGCTGCGGCCCAGAGCCCACCTGCAGGGACCAGACCCGACCGGGGGGACCGGTGGGAGGCGACGACCCCCAGACCGCGCCCGGGTCCACTGGGGAGGGGCCTACCTCAAGTGCTTCATGAGTGCGGTGAGGACGTAGAGGAACTCGTTGACCAGGTGCAGGGCCAGCAGCTTCGGGGGCTCCTGGGACGTGGGTGGGCCCGGTGGCTGGCTGCCCGGCTCTGTCCCTTTGTCCCCCAGGTTGGTCACCCACAGGGTGTGCAGCAGGCTGATGATGTTGGAGAGCAGCTGGGTCTCCAGGAACCTGTGACCAAACGCAGAATTGCTCCGTCACGTCCCCTCCTCCCCTGCCTGTCAGGGGGGCTGACGGGATCCATGGGCTGGGGGGGCTGGGCAGGCGGCAGCCCCAAGTGGGGGTGCATGGGGGCTGCCGCAGGCCCGATCCCCCCCAGCGCGGCTCGACTCTCCTTTCCAGCCGGACAGGCGGCCGGAGCCCCAACATCGCTTTGTGGGAGCGACTGGGCTCCCAAAACGTGCAGCCCACAGCCAGTGGTGCTTGCACAAGTCGGACACAGCCTGGAAGCCCGTGGCCAGGGATGATTCTAGATTTGGGACACTTCCTGTTACGGGCCCGGCTGCCCTGCTTGTCTCAGCAGTTAGAGGTCTGGGAGGAAGCTCCCTCCCAGCAGGTGGTATCCGCAGCAGGAGCCTGCATCCTCCAGAGTCTCAGGTCTGGGGGGGGGACTGCTAGGACCCAGAACAGGTCACAGTATGGGCTGAGCCTGCCGCCATTCGTATGTGGCAGTCCTGACGCCCAACGTGCTGTAGGGGGTCAGGGGCCCTGTGGGTGCAGATTAGCACTCTGGTGAGAAGAGGGGGCAACGCAAGCGTTCCCCCTCCTTCTGTCCCCAGCCTGAGGACACAGCGAGAAGGAGGGCCTATAAGCCCAGGACGGAGGTCTCACCAGAACCCACCCATGGGGGGCCCCAACCTTGCTCCAGCCCCAGAACTGTGAGGGTTGAACCCCTGTGGCGAGAGCCCCCCAGTGTGTGGCAAGCCGTCACGGGCCTGGGCACTCAGACACACACCCGCTCACGCACCCTGACCCCGGGTAGGGGAGGCAGTGGCCGCTAGCCACTGTCACTCGAGGGACAGCCAGAGGGGTGACCACCAAACGCAAACTGCCCGTCACCCCACTTGACAGACACACAGGGATCCGAAGTGAGCGGACGCCGCGTCGGCGCCCCAAGCCGGCACCCGGCTGACGTCAGCGCGAGAGGACGCTGCCTCGGTGCGTGTGCTCTGCGGGGCACTTCAGCGGCGAGAAGATGGCCGCGCACCCCTGCTGCCCGCGCGGGCAGGCCCCCGGCTCACCGGCTGCTCTCCAGGGTGTGCAGGGCCCAGGTGAGGAGGCTGTAGTCTCGCAGCAGTTCGTAGGCAGACCTGGCGTCGCGGGCGGCACTCTGGAGAATTTCCAGAACCCAGTTCTGAAAACCCAGAACACAGTCACTCCTCAGAGGGAAGCCCTGACGCGGTCCCCCAGGAGCCACCTGAAAACGCGGGCACATCACAGGCTCCGTCTGCAGGAGCGATGGCCCCACGGAACGCACCCCTCCCCGCGGGCCACAGCTAGGGCACACGCCCCCTGCCCGCACACTGCGGGCACCACTCCTGCTGACCCACAAGGGACCCCCGTGAGCAAAGGTGCAGCCGAGCTGGGTGTGAAAGTCTGCACCCGCTTCCTGCCCAGCCACAGACGGCGGTGGCCCCTTCCGTCCCCACGACCTGGGGGCATCCGACAGAAACCGACCACGCTGACCAGGCCACAGTGACCCGAACCCCAGAGGGTCCACCTCGTCCCTCCTTCCAGCCGCCCACTGGAGCTCCTGGTCGGGGACCGTGGCCGAGCGGAGCCCGCCAGCCCTGCTGCATCGCTCCGGCAGCCGCACCTCCGACTGCCATTTCCCAGCGGGTTCTGAGGGCCCGCAGCTCTGGGCAGCGCATGGAATCCGGTCCTGCAGCGCAAGACCGGTGGTCTTGGCCGAGCACCCCGGTTGTTTGTGGGCAGCTGTGTCTCCAGGGTCAACCAGCTCCAAGGCTCACAGCTCTGACTGGCGTGAAGGTTGATGCCGTGCCCGCCCTGCATGTGGCCCACGGCACACGTGCACTTGGGAGTCAGGCCGACGTCGGCCGTGCCCGGTCTGGGTGAGAATTCACGCGAACTCGACTTCCAAGCAGAACCTCAAGGAAGAGCCTAGACCTTCCCGCCCCACACGGACCTGCGGGCCGTGCCTACCTGCGCCGCCTGATCGCACAGTGGGCTGTGGAAGAAGGACAGGAGGACGTGGAACACGCCGCGCCGGGCGCAGAGCAGGAAGCAGTGCCTGTCGCGGATCCCCTGCCGCAGAAGCCCGAGCAGCCACTTCCGCTCGGTGCTGTGCTGCAACCCAGACAAACGCACACTGTTGTTCTCACCCTGTGGGGACACCGCCGCCCGCTGCAGGGCCGCCCCGACCGACCCCCTCCTGCTTGGCACTGAGCATGCCCGCTGCTGCCCTCCATGGGCTTCTAGTCAGGGACGGAGGGCCAGGTCGGGGTGACACTGAGCACGGCTCCGTGGGCTGCGTCAACACTGAACTGGGCTCGGCAGGTGCTGCCACGCACAGTCGGCCTCTACCCGGCGGCCGGCGAAGGAGACCCACGGCGACGTGCACACCACAGAGCCACACGGGAGGGCGCTCAGGGCTGCGAAGCTGCCCATGGCTCCTCCCCGCACCCAGCCCGCCGAAGCCGTGCTCCCGACCCCTCGCCGCCACGCCGCTGGGTCTGTGTGCCACAGCCGGCCCAGTGCCGAGGGGCAGAGCCTGAGCGGTGGTGGCTGGGAAGCCGGTGCGGGAAGCCTCTGGGGCCTGCGGCTGGGGGCTCACCTGGAAATCGGAGCTGTAGAAGAACTGGTAGAAGCCAGGGACTTTGTTCATGTTCAAGTGCTCATGCGACAGCAGGAACTTGTTGATCTTCAGGTACATGTGGTCCTCTGAGCACACGGACAGAGGGTCATGGGCAGAAGGTCAGCATGCACAGCAGGCCAGGACGGCCCTATCTGCGGCAGCCGAGCAGCGTGGGTCTGGGGACCCACCGTGGACCCCGCCCCCGTGGGGCACCTGCCTGTGAGTGCAGGTCACCATCCCCCAGAGTGGGACGCAGTGAGGCCGGTCCGCCCTGCTTGGGGCTCAGGGACCGCTGCAGGGCTGACACCCACACCCCCGGCCCGGCTCTGGGGGGTGCTCGGCAAAGGCGGCTGGGCCACGGCGGGCCCCTCGGCTCCGGGGTGTGGTGGGGCCGATGGGGGCGAACGTCTCCTCGCTGCTGCTTCCAACCCTCGGCATGTGGCCTCGGGTTGGTCTAGGCCACCTGCAGCCGACCCAGGACCACACGGCCGCCGTCTGACATGGGCAGAGTGTGCCCAGACCAGCGGGAGGCAAAGGTCACTGCTCCGGGGCCTCCGCCAGGGTAGCACCTCAAAACACGCTTGCCCTCACAGCCTGCACGTGGCTCTTCCCACGGCGAACACGGAGCCACACAGAGAAAGTGGCATGGGAGCGGATGGACTTTGGACCCCAGCTCCGCCAGCCACATGACTGGGGAACTCATGGTGGGGCCTTGGAGGAGCTCTAACCCAGGGCCTACAGCTTCGGGGGCTGCCCCCTCATCTGAGCACGACTACGTGACACTCAAACACCCCGCGGTCCCCAAAGGCCCCAACATCCTGACTTTCGGTAATAAACGTGGCTTCACAGCAGGCTGACTCCTACCGCAGCAGCCGGGCCACCGTCCCACGGGGCCTTGGTGAGCCCGGTATGCAGATACCCAGGCTGACCACCTCTGGTGCAGGGCCCTCTCCCCTCCTCCCACACTGAGGGCATTTGGTCAGGAGCCCCCGAGCGCTCAGGTGGGGTCACTGTCCCCTCTGCTCTGCACCTGGGCTTCTCAGTGTTTCCTGGAGTCTGGCCCACAGGGTGCACCAAGTGCCCCTGCAGCCCTGGATGGCCCCGGCCTACCCTCACTCGCATGTGTGCCGGCACCCCAGCGCGGTCCCCGCACCCGGGCTCAGCCCCCACCCGGCCACGCCCCACTGGCAGTACCTGGTTTCAGCACCTGCAGGGCTGCCTTGGCGGCGAAGAGGGCCAGCGTGAAGGTGAGCCTCATGTTTGGGGTGCGGACCCCACCCCGGACCACGTCCAGCAGGTACAGCACCTGCGGCCAGGATGCGTGGAGAGCAACTTCAGAACTGGGGCCACGGCCTCACCGTGCGAGGCCAGGGACTCCACCCCACAGCGGCCAGCGCCCCTGGTCGTCCTCCGTGAGCCAGGCATGTGGCCAAGGGCAGAGAGCGTCCTGGGTCCACCTGACAGCTCAGCCTCTCCTGTCCCCACATCCCGTGGCACCAAGCCTGGGTGTTCTGGGTAACAGCTGCCTTAACCATTGAGTGTAAACCAGAGACAGCCAGCAGAAATGAAACAGCTCCACCCACACACAGCACCAGAGTGTGCGGCGGGGGAGGCCTCTCTCATCTGCCCCCCGGGGCTGGGGACCACAGGCAGTGTCACCAGCTGGAGGGAAGAGGGCTCGCCAGGCAACTCAGAGACCCCGGCGGACGGGACAGCCAGCCAGGCTCTGGGGCCCCACCCACCTGGGGCTGCTCCCGGAACCGGGCCCCCTCCACATGCCCGTAGTAGGCCGCCAGGACGGAGTAGGCCGCGGCTCGCATCTGGGGGTCGTAGCTGCTGAGGGCCGCGAAGGTCAGGCCCAGAGCGTTCGAGTCCAGGAATTTTCGACAGTCCACCACAAATTCTACGGGAAATGAAAGAACATTATGCGCGCGCGCGCACGATTCCACGATGCTTGTGTGACACGATGAATTAAATTTCCTTCTGCGCTTCTCCACCAACCACCGCATGTGCTAGATGGAAGATGCAGGTCTCCCCCCAGCTCCCAGCTCCTGCTGAAGCCGGACACAGGACTAATGTGCCCGCCACGGCCTCCGGTTGCCCGGCCTTCAGCCTCCAAGACGCCTGTAAACCCCAACCAGGGTCATCGGGACTCCTGGGAAAAGGGCGGAGGCAACGTTCAGACCAAAGCATGAGCTGCTGACTCCCCCTGGCAGCCCGGGGGCCAGGGCAATGCCCCCAGGGGTCAGCCGAGAAAGCACCGTCCACAGGCAGCTGGCCAGGAGCCTCTCAGCTGGGGCAGACCACCCACCCGGGCCACCTGCTCCTGAAGACGACTCTCCCTCCCACCAAGGCCCCGCTCCTCCCGTCAGCACAGGGCAGCTTCCCGGGCCTGAGTGACAGCCGCAGTCTGAGGGGCCTGTACTGCCACCTGAGGCCCCGGAGACTCGTGGCCCCTCCAAGAGAGGATGAGAGCCAGAGAGGAGGCCAGGTACGCAGGGGACACACCCAACCACATCTTAAAGGGCCTGGTTAACACACAAATTAAGTTCAGGATGCTTCAAGCCCTCTTTAGTGAAACCCAGGCCTCCTCACAAAACAAATGCTGTCAAGAAACAGCTCAGAGTGGACCTAGGCCGCCGTGGCAAAGTGACCGAGCAGGGTCACCAGGCATGAGGTCCTGCTCAGACCGAGCAGCCACACAGTGCACAGAAGGGCCCAAGAGAAGAATGACGGCAGCTTCCCTGTTGGAAATGACTCAGTTCAGCGTCGGGGTGGAGGGTCTTTGAGGTACAGTAAGAAAACCCTGCCAACCTAGAATTTTATACTCCATGAGAATCTTTCAAAAGTTAAACCTTTTTCCATTAAAAAATGCTGAGCAAATGTATTACCAGCAACCCTGAACTGCAAGAATTTTTAAAGGAAGAATTTTAGGTGTAAGGAAAATGATGGAGGATGAAAATCTGGAACCACACCAAAAAAATGAGGAGAAAAACTGGGTGACCAGACAGTACATACAAAAGATTTAAACCTCTTTGAAGTGTAAGCGGCTGCCTGAAGCAAACACACGTGTGTGGGCTTCACGCAGACAGAAGGGACACACATGAGCGAAACGGCACGAGAGCCGGGCGGAGAGGCGGGCGTGCTGAAGACGCACCTGAACACCCACCCAACAAACACGGGGACGGGGGGGCCGCCGGGGGAGAACGGCCCAGACCCCTAACGTCACACTCGTGACGAGGGTCCTCGGCTGGCTCGAATGCTTTCGGCACAGGCCGACACACCTGCACACGTGTGACCGCTCAGTGCCCCTCCGGCCCCGCCCGGGAGCAGGGCACACACACGCTTCCGTCCCGTCTCTCTCTCTGCCCACCCGCAGGCCGCAGGACAGAAACACCCTCAAAGCCAGAGGGGGGACGGCAGCGGCCCCCCTGCTCCCGAGGATGAAGCGGGCTGGCGTTTGACCCCGCCTGCTGAAGACCCAGAAAAGGCAAGAATCAGGCAAACGTGGAGGGCAGAGGGATGTCGTCAGCATCTTGAGGAGGCCACCGTGTGTCGCAAGCACGAAGGGTTACTTGGTCGGAGATCACGGAGTGAGCGGCGGGAAGGCAGCGCGAGCTCACTGGGGTCACGGACAGTCCCGCGCGGCTGACCGGCGCAGGTCCCCCGGCTCCGAGGGCCCCCGCCCCGCCCCGCCCCAGGGCTGCGAGTACCTGGCCTGGTCAGCTCGCTGAAGAGGTGTAGGAGGAAGCAGGGGTCATAGAGGCCATCGAGCTCCACGGCGCTGCTGTCTGCGAACAGCGGGTCCTGCGCATCCTGTGAGAGCCCGGGCAGGCACGTGCCTGCTGCTCAACCCCCAGGGACCCTGGGGAGCACTCACCCTGGTGCCCAGACCTCAAGCTGCTCTGGGTGTTTGAGAGCATTGAAAATGGTCCTGTGAGCCACAGGACATGAGATGACGGGACCTGGGGGGGCGGGCTCTATATGGAGCAAGGGCTGGGCCTGCGGGGTCCTGCCTCTGCCCCTCCCGGCAGGGCTGACATGAGCCTCACCGACAAGCTGACAGTGGAGCCTGTCCCGGGGAAGGGACCCGGGGCCCCCATACCTCGGGGGGCAGCAGTCTCCGGTTCTGGGGGAAGTGGAGGATGGTCCTCATCATGCGGTCCCGATCCAGGAGGCGGAGGACGTCCCCGACGCTCGGCTGCTGCCACAGCGACTTGCCCAGGCTCCGGCACGTCTTGTGGTGCTCCACGGCCGCCGGGCCCCACAGCAGCACCCTAGGGCCAAGCGGGGAGCAGACCGGTCACGGGCTCCGCGGGGCCAGAACCGGTAGGGATGACAGTGGGAGGGCTGTGTCAGCTGCTGGCACACGCCAGGCAACGCCCTGCTGTCTGTCCCTCCCTCCCTGTCTTAGCCTGGGGGAAGGCGGGAGGGTGGTGACGGTGACGTGAGGAGGTAGGGGACACTGTCAGGGATGACGACGCAGGACGGCACCGAGACAGAGCTCACGACCCGCCAGGCACTGCTCCAGCCCCTTAGGGATCCATGCAACAAGCCAGGCCCCTCCTGGCCGACACAGGAGGCGGGCAGAGAGGAGAGCCGCCAGCTGGGCGCCACAGAGCCAGGACTCAGATGCGGGCGTCTGGCTGCGGAGCCTGGCTGACCAGGCGAGGGGTCTTGGCTGTGCCGCTGCCCTGCAGACCGAAGCCTCTCCCAGACAGGCTCCGGCACTGCTCTCGGCCGCCCCCCAGCCCATGGCAGTGGCCTGCCCCGGGGAAAAGACACAGGCCCCCCACCCCCAAGCTCCCCCCCCCCGTGAGGTGTGCGGGGTGCACCCTGAAGGCCCAGCTCCACACAGGGCCGCTCCTCTGCCCCAAGATGTCCTGGCTCCTCTGCCACCTGCGTGTTCGCCACACCCTCCCTGCCATCCTGCAGCAGCCCTGACACCCCGAGAGTCCAGAACAACGGGGTCCCCCACAGAGTGTGGACCAGAAGCCAGTCTGAATGAAAGGAGGCACGGTCATGACTGTCTCACCCAGAGTGCTGGGCAGGGGCCGCGGGCACAGTGGGCGCTCGACTGGAGTGGGTGGGCAGCAGAGCTTCCAGAGGGGCCTGCCCCCCGAGTCATAGAGTGAAGGCTCCGCTTTGGGAGGGTGGCCCACCGGACACGCCACTCGGATGGCACCCTCGCCAGTGTGGCAGTTGCCCCCAGATGTGCCCGGAGTCCCTGTGTCGCCCCCTAACTCAGCCCTGCCCCAGAGAACGGTACTTCTGGACCTGGCGTTCTCAGAGAGAAGAAGGCCCCCCCCCTTTTTGGGAAGACTGAGAGCTGTGATCACGTTAAAGACGGCGCCCCACACTGTCAATCCCTCCTCCTCTCCCTGCAGAGCTGCGCGGCGCTGCTCTCCTTGGCGCAGGGGGCTCGCTGCCTGTCGCCACACGCGGACCTCCTCAGCGCGTGGGTCCTGGGCGGGCGCCAGGGCGCAGGGAGGAGGGACATCACCCCCCCCCCTGTGAGAAGCGCATCGCCGAGTCCCCGCCTAGTCCCTCACGGAGGCGGGCAGGCCCCAGGGGCAGGCCCAGCAGGTGCTGGCCATGCGGCCCCTGACACCCAGGAGAGACAGAGACAGACAGATGGACCAGAAAGAGACACGGACGCAGTCCCAAGAGGGGTTGCCACCAGTGGGTGCCCTCACTCCGCCCCCAGCCCCCATGCCACACGCGGTCCCACCTCCCGTGCATGGTGTTCAGGAGCACGACTGCGCCCGACCCCGCAGTTGGGAGTGGGGGCTGGGGGCCAGGGCCCAGTCCGAACGACAAGCCACGTCAGCCCGCAGGTGGCCCCGGAGCCACTGACCGAAACCTGAGAGCCAAGGGAGCGGCGTCCACCCCGCACGCGAGGACCAGCCGGAAGGAAGGGAATCTGGGTGCAGAGTCTGCTCCGTGGGCGCCCCCAGGGCCCGCCACGCCCACACCCGGCCGGGGCCCAGCCCACACTCACCTGAAGCTGGTGAGGCTGAGGCCGCTCTGCTCGTAGGCCCGCAGGAGGAGCAGAATCTTCTGGTCTGCAAGTCGGTTGCAGGTCAGGTCAGAGGGCAGACCGTGGACACGCCCGCCCCGTCACAACGCCCATCCCCGTGCCCCGGTCCTCACCCAGGACGCTGAGAGAGGCGCCGTAGGCCCCGAGGAGCACGGCGAAGTGGCTGCCGTCGCAGACGGCTGGGCACAGCCTCACCACGCCCAGCACCAGGTCCACCAGCGCCTCTGGGAGAGAACGGCGGTGAGCACGGGGGTGCGTGTGGGGGAGAAAGGGGTACACGTTTCGGGGGCTGCTTGGCACTTCAGCTCTGAGCAGGCCTGGGTTTAGGGCTCGGCCCGGTCCCCGCCCCCACTCCTTTCCTGCCTCCTCCGTAAGCAGCTCGGTGCCGACTCAGCAGAGCTGGGTCCCGCCACCCCTCCCAACCTTCACGCCATGAAGACTTTAAAGCCTGACTCTCGTTCCAAGGCTGTCTCACCAAAGTCTGACACCATTCTGCCGCCTGAGCAGGAGGCAGTGGCTCGGCCACACCTCCGCCCCCCAGGAGTGAGCCGGGCTGTCTCTGTCCAGCTGCTCACCACGCCCCAGCCTGGTGCAGACCCTGGGGGCAGACCCCTCGGGGCGGGGACAGCTGTCCCTAAGAAGAGCGTGGCCGGGCAGGCGAGGGCCCGCACTCTAGAGCCTCCGTCCTGCCTTCGCAGCAGCAGCCCGTGCCGAGCTGGGGCGCCCGGGCACCGGTGTAGGCGTGTCCTGAGCGGTTTGGAGCTGGGGCCTGGGCTCTCAGAGTCCCCTGGCAGGGACCTGTCCACAGAAATGTTCGACCCTCTGCCCTTGACACAAGTTTCAATTTTCCCATGGAGACTGCCCTCTAACTCCCAGACTCGAATGCACGCCCAGGACGCGGCCGTGAGACTGTAAGGCGACTGCGGTGGGCCGGGGCCTTGGCGCCGGGCCCCTCGCCACAGACGGCTCGCTGGGGCCCGGGTCCGCACCCACATCCTCCGGGAATGCTGCCTCGCTCCGCAAACACGCGGGCGCTGGGCTTCGGTGCCCAGTGAGCCCAGACACCAGGAGCCGCCACCTGCATGGGGGCGGGCACCTTTCACTCGGCGGTCGGGGTCGCCCTCCTCGGCCTCCAGCAGGGTGGGCAGGAACAGGGAGTGCTGGGTGAGCAGCGCGTGGACCGCCGGCAGCGGGAGGAGCCCCGCGCACACGGGGCTCTCGGGACGGTACAGGAGCTGCACGGCGGCGTGGAGGGCCTCCAGAAACTCGGGGTCCTGGTACCGGAACCTGGGGGGAGAGTCGGCGGGGCAAAGAGCTTCGTGAAGGGCAATCCCGTGTGCCGGGGAACTGTGAAGACACTTTTTCTTGGCATTTTATTAGAAAAATCTTCTGCCCATGTTTTTGTAAGTTAGGGACAATTTGTTCTACAACAACAAAATTTACTGCATTGAAATGGATTATGTGACAAGTCATGTGACACAGTGAAGGACTTAATGTACACGACATATATAAACGCACAAGTTTTATAAAGAAAATAATGCAACGAATTTCAGCACAGACTGTGGGGAAGCTCAGGGTGCACGTCTCCCGCCCGGCACCCACGTCTCCCGCTCCCGGGCACCGCTGGCCCCCCCACAGGGAGCCCTGGAAGAAAGAGGGTGTGCGACCTGCTCGCTCGGCAGTGCAAACGCCCAGCAGACGCCCGGCCTGGGCCAGACGCCAGGTGGCCGAGCGCCTGGGCCACAGCTGCGGGGCCTCCCGCCTCCTGACCTCAGCCAACACCACCACTGCTGCCGTCAGTGGAGCGGCCCCGACGGGCGAGGGAGGGAGCGAGCGGCGGGGGGGCGGATGCGGAAAACAGGCAGCACTGTGAGCGAGGCACCTGAGTGTGGGTCTCGGCCGAGGCCACGGGGTCACAAAGTGTCTCGAGTCTCCGAGGCAGCCTCTGAGCACCGCCAGCACCCCAGCGGCAGTGGCAGGCCTGTGCCCTCCCGCGCCACGCACCGTGTCCCCAGGCAGGACCGGCACAGGCTCGGCCACGTGCAGGTCACCGCACTGTCAGTGACGGGCGCAGAGCAGCCGGGCCAAGGGGGTGGGGGTCGGTCGACTTACTTGAGTCCGGTCTTCACGAACCTCTGCCAGTCGTCGGGGTCCACTTCCTGAAGGGAGCTCTGCGGGTGGAGCGGGGGAGACACGCGTGAAGCCAGGGCAGTCGGCGAGCGGGACCTGGCGCTGAGACCCAGCTGCTCCGTAAGCGAGGACCAGCCACCCACACAGGCCACAGGAACACACGCCTGCTTCGTCCTCGGTTTGTACCTAAGCCACCATTCACGGGCGCCTCTCCCCCAACGAGCGGAGGCAGCTTCCCCAGCCTTCCCGCAGCGGTCACTGCCCCCCCACGGCTGCCACCACGGCCAGCACGCACCGCCTCACAGCCCACTCGGGGAGTCTGCGTGTCTGACGACATCGACCCGGGGGAAGACCACCAGGCGGGACCCAGGAGGGCCGGGCTGCCTTAACACTCAAAGACCCGTTAGTGTCACCCCCTTCCTCAGCAGGCTGCGCGAGAAGAAGCCCACGCGGGTCAGTCACCGACGGGGAGACCACCCCAGGCACGTGATGGTGCTAAGGCGGAAGGGAGGCTGCTCTGGTGGGAGCGTGGTCACCAGGGCGTGTGCACCCGTCAGCACCGAACCACGCACTCGAGAGCTCCCACTGCACAACATGAAAACACACGCGGTGAGGAGGAAGCCTTGTTACTACAATGGAACGGTTTGTGCGGCGCTGATGAGGCAGCCCAGGAGTGCGCCTGCGTGAACGGTGACCACGTCACTGCACTGGTCAGCGGGGGCGGCGGGGGATGCTGTTGAGTGCGCAGTGTGCACTGTGTGGCCGTCGTGTTCCAAACGACTGCGCGAGTGGAGCAGTGAATCTGCATCCGATTTTGTGTTAACCTTGAACGTTCTCCCGTGGAAAATATTTTGATGAATCAGAGGCCACAGCTGTGGGCAGCTGGTGACCGGCAGCTTCGTCACGACCACACGCCCACTCACGCATCACGTGTTGTGCAGACTTTCTTAGTAAAACATCAAATCACCCAGGTGATGCAGCCCCCCTACAGCCCGGATTTGACCCCCTGCGACTCCTGGCTTTTCCCAAAACTAAAACCACCTTTGAAAGGGAAGAGACTTAAGACCATTGACGAGATTCAGGAGAATATGATGGGGCAGCTGATGGTGATTAGAACTGTGCGGGGTCCCAGGTGCCTACTTTGGAGGGGACTCAAGTGTCACTGTCCTATGTACAGTGTTTCTTGTATCTTCTTTGATAAATGTCTGTATTTTTCACATTATGTGAACACTCTCTGGACAGATCCTGAACTTCAGTTATGAGAGAAGGGGCAGCGTGGGCGTTGATGGTGGGAAAGGCTGTGTGTGTGGGAGGGCCACAGAGGGTCCATGGGACCTCTGTCCCCGCCTCAGTTCTGCTGGGAACCTACATCTGCTCCGGGTGGGGGAGGGGGAGGAGGTCTACAGAAACGGGACAAAGAGAGACTAAGGGGGCAGGGAGGGAGGCGCACAGTGGGGATACAAGTCCCTACAACAGCACAGCCGGTCAGCAGGCCAGCTGGTGGGGGTGTTCACAGTGACAGTGGCAGCAACCCGCCCCCCCTCTGCAGCTCAGGGCTCTCCAGACTTGGGGACACGCCCCTGCTCCCCGGGGTTTGCCCGGTGGGGTGCCTGAGGGCCTGCTGCGCTCTCAGAAACCAGCAGCAACGGAGCAAGGCTGAAACACAGGCCTCTCAGCGCAGAGACCCACGGCCTGCCCTGCAACCTGCGGACACAGTCACCACGCGACTGCCACCTGGGCTGTCTTCCTGAGGCCACTGTTCATGTCTCGGGTTCCAGAGTTCAAACACCAGCCACCGACTCTACAACTTGTAACAGATTTTACACCGTGCACTGAGAAATATCTCGTATATGTTAGCTTCCAGAACGCTAATTATTTACATGCAGAAACATAACTGTTAAAGAAAAAAGACTTCAGTAGAAGGGTGTCATGGCCAAATATAGCTGAAAATCCTCAAATTTCATGGAAACTCTCGACTCTCGGAGACGAGGAGCTCGCCGGCCCAAAGCACAGGGAACCTGACCGGGCTCGTCCTGATCAACCCGCGCTCACCCGTGTGAAATGAACCCGGACAGCGGGACGCGAAAGGGCGTGATGTGCGGAGGAAGGCAGACAAGAGCGGCAGACGCCTCACCAGAGACGACGCCTGCCGGGGACAACACAGCGACACCTGTCACGTGCTGGAAGGGGGCAGAAAACCCAGCGCTTTATGCCCGATCTCTTTCCAACCCACTGACAGCAGAGTGTTGCCAGTCCTACAACCAAACACGCTGCCAGAAATCGCAGCGGAGACCACGCCTCCTACGCACCCACGGGAAAGCCCTTAACGAAACCCCAGCACGTGGACCCGACCTCACTGAGAAACAGGAGCCGCGCACGGCCACGCAGGCTTCCCCCAGGATCGCAGCACCGACTAGTGCAAGTCCCTGTGCTGACCCACTAAGCGAAGGGGAGAAACAAGCTGCCCTCTCAGCAGGCAGGTGCCACTCCCGACGGTCCTCACTCCAGGGGCCGCCCACCTGCCCCTTGGCGTCCCAGGCACCACCCTTGCTCTTCACCAGCCGCCTGCACGTCGCCGGCTAAGAGCGGACCTGTAAACCCTGGTCCGTCTCCGCCCCTTAGACACTCAGCCGGGGCCCAGGGGAAAGGGGTGACACCCACCAGCAGCTGGTTCAGCCTCAGCAGCATCTGCTTCTCTCCCTCGGGGGCGCCGTCTCCGTCCCGCGCGGGGCCGCCGAAGGTCCCGAGCAGCCACCTCAGGCAGGACGGCAGCAGAGCCTCGCTCCAGGCTCCCAGCTGCTCTGCGGAGCCCTCCAGGGCGGCCGAGACAGAGTCGGCCACGGTCCAGCTGCAGCAGAGGGCACGGTCTCCGCGTCAGAGACGCCCAAGCCCCTCCCAGTGCTGATTCGAGCCCAGTGTGACAGTGGGCCCTGTGCCCCGAGTCCCGGTCCCCTGCCACCCCAGCACAGGAATCCCAGGCTGTGCTGGCCCCTCACTCGCTCACACGTAGAAGAGGGACCGCAGTTTTTACCACTGGGGGAGCAGTGTGGGCAGGCCAGGAAAAGGTCACGTCGCCCCACTTCTTTTTTGTTGGGAGACTAGCAGGGTGAGCGGGGCCTCCCTGTAATTGAGGGGGTCCGGCAGCACCCCGGGCTCGCGCCCCAGGTGCCAGCAGCAACACCCCACCCGTGCTGTCACAGAAAGGGTCAGACACTGCCGGGGCCCAAGTCCCCTGGCCGAGAGAACTCGTCGTCAGGAGCCGGCCTCCCCCCAGTCGGCACGGAGACCAGCACCAGGAGCAGCGCAGTGACCTCTCGCCTGCGCGTAAACACCGCACGGGACAGCGATGCCGTGAGCCTCCGTACCTCGCGTGGCTGCCAGGGGTCCGAAGTGAGCTGGGCAGGCGGTCTGCCAGGACGCGGAGGTCCTTGGCTCTCGCGAATGGGACCAGCTGGGCCAGGACCTCGGGGTGCAGCCCTGACCCCTGGGGCCCATGGGCGCTGAGGAGCCTGGCCTGCAGGGGCCTCCACAGGGCCTTCCTCAGGACGGGGGCAACGGCGGGGGGCACTGTGGCGGACACAGAGGGAGAGGTCGTCACACGCAAGGAGATGCCGAGCTGGTGCAGACCAGCTCCTAGGGGCCCACAGTTCCACCCCCGCAATCTGGTCCCTGGGCGATGTCACACGTGGCCCAAGGCTGGCCTCGGCAGGAGTGGTGACCGCAGGGACTGCAGCTGCTGCCTGGCCGCCGTGCGTGGGCGCCGGCCGCCCCTGACAGGGCTCTCCATCTCCAGCCCGGCGGCCCCGGGCCCCCAGCTCCACGCCTGCGAGCAGACTGTGCACACCAGTGCCTGGCCCCCAGGATGGGCAGGAGGGCTGCTGACCAGACAGGTCCCCGTGTCTTCACAGACACCTGCCGTCACTGGTGCGAGGCTGCTCAAACCAGGCAAAGCAGCGGGTGGAGCTGCACCTGTGCGACCAGAAGGGACTAAATCTGAGGGGTCAAAAAGTGCCTCATCTGACGCCCAGCAGGCAGGGAAAGGAGAGCTGGGCCCAGACTGCCCCGGCCCAGTGCTGCCGCCTCTATCCTGATGGAGGGGACAGGCGAGGGGACAGGGACGATCACCCTGAACGCCCCCGCAGCCTAGTGAGACTCCGCTCCTGTGTGGTCCCCCTCGGCAGTCCCGGCTACTGCCCACCCTTCCCCCGGCTTCACGTGGTGACACGGAGCTGACGTAGGGCAGCACCTCGAGCCAGAAGGTCGAGATTGTTGGGGGCGGGCGGGTGTTGAGGGAGGCCCTTTCACCTTTCTGCAGCTCCAGAGGGGGGGCGGGTGCTGAGGAGAAAGGAAGCTGCACCACCCCCAGGACACGGAGCCCCAGGGCTGGCAAAGAGACCAGCTGCCTGACTTCAAACCCCTGCTGCCCGGAGCCCCGCTTCCCCCTACCTCCTGCTGGGCGTGCACAGCATCCCCGGGTCCGGCACTGGAGGTACGCGAGCACGAGGGGGAGGAAGTCCTCGAGGCCCTCCCGCAGGCGGAGCTCTGCCCCCGGCCGCCTGCACCACAGCTCGAAGCGCAACAGGTGGGCCCAGCTCCGCGGCACGAGCAGGGTGGCGATGCCCAGGGTCACCTGTGTCCGCCGGGCCAGGCAGTAGTCGAGCAGGTCGGCCCTGACCGTGGAGGCCAGTTCAGGCGCCCCCTGCAGAGTCCGTAGGAACACGGCGTCCAGCTCACCCACGGCCAACGTGGGGAGCAGAGCCCCCAAGCCTCGCACGTACGCAGAGGTCCAGAGGAGCTCGCTGTTCGGCAGCTGACCCTGCGGGCTGCTGGTCAACAGCTGGACCAGAGTCCTGCCGAGGGTACTCAAGCGTCTCTCCTTCCCAGGGGACTCTGTGGGTGGGTGGGCCACCAGGTGGGCCTCGGGCAGGCGCAGCAGGGCGAGGGTGACCTCGCGGAGCTGGGCGCCCTCCATGTACACATGCAGCCCCTGCAGGGCCTCCAGCTGCGGGAGGGTCTTGGGCAGCGATGCAGTTGGGCCCGCCTTCCTGCTGCGCAGCTCCTTCAGCACGGTCTGGGTCACGGCCTCCAAGTACCGGGCCAGGAGGTCCAGACGACCACGGCTCTGCAGGATGGGGGCGCTCGCCACCAGCAGCTGCAGGACACCCGCGCTGAGGCCCGCTGCCAGGAGCTTCACCAGGACGGGGCTGAGGGCGTGTGGGGGCAGGGCCTGCCGCTCCAGGGCCAGGAACCAGCCCTCCAACGTGGGGTGTCTGAGGACAGCCATGAGCACCTCCTCCAGCGTCTGGAAGACAGGGACCAGGCACTGGCCTCGCAGGCGCCCCAGGGCCAGCAGGGCCAGCAGCAGCCGCAGTGCGAGCCCCACTGTGCTGAGCAGGAGGGGCCCCCTGTCCTAGAGCTGAGTTCCGACGCCCCTCTCAGGAACCCAGGCAAAGCTGTGACCCTGGCCTGACCATGAGGGTCCCGCACAGACTGCACGGATCTGACGACTTCGGGCCGGAGGAGCTGCCTGCACGGCACAACTGCTCTGCAGTCCTTGCTGCACGGACGGCCATGCAGCCACACTGCAAGTGACAGCGGCCGCTCACTGATGCCTCACTAGCACCCGGGACTCCCGAGAAACCAGGGCGAGGGCTGGGCGGGTGAGCACTGCTCAGAGAGGTCTCGAGGGTAGGGAGGGCACACAGGTTATGGTGCCAAGAGGTCCCCGCCCCAGAATGGAGGTGACCCTGTCTCTGCTCCCTGACAAGGCTGGGCCTCCCATTACCCTGACCCTGAGCTGCAGCCAGTGAGCAGGAAGCAGCTGAGTGTGCTGGGCTGCAGCCCTGCCAAGCACGACGCCCAGTCCACAAAAGCTGCACTGGTTCCCTGGGACAGGGACAACTTTCTTCTCCTCACGTGCTTGGAGGAGGGAGGGGAGGGGAGGGGAGGGAGGGGAGGGGAAGGGGAGGGGAGGGGGAGGGGAGGGGGAGGGGAGGGAGAGGGGGGGAGGGGAGGGAGAGGGGGGAGGGAGGGGAGGGGAGGCCCCCACAGTTCCAGTGGAGAAGAGCACAGTGTGGGCCCACGTTCAGGCTGGTCTGCCCGACAGGGTGCAGGAGGTCCTGCGCCCACAGACCCACCCCAAACGCCTGCTCAGGGGGCAACTGAGGCACCTACGTCAGACTCTGAAGTAAGGACCCCAGTAAACAGGCCGAACGATGCACTGTGCCTGACCCCGGGCCCCTCCGGCAGGACGCCTGCAGGGGCTGCCTGGCAGAGGCCTGCGGCCGCCTGTCCTGTCCTCACGCTGCAGGAGGAGCTGGGTTTCTCGGGGCGCCCACATCGCACACTATCTGGAAACTGCGGGGGTGGGGGGGTGGCAGCCAAGCACAGAGGTGACTGGGAAGGGACGCCTGAGTAAACCATGCTCTTCTCCGGGCGGACGGTGGGGCAGCTCTACTGTCTCCCAAGTTTCCCACAACGGCCACGGCCTCACTTCCGATCGGGAGTGGGGAACAGCAGGGGCCTGAGACTTCCAGGGAAAGGCCAGCAGGCAGGAGAGCACGGTACCTGGTCCCCAGCCAGCTCCAGGGAGGCCACAGACTCCATGTCCAGGAACAGCTCGGACTCGGCCTGCACAGCCTCGCACTTCTGCCGGTTCTGGGCATCCAGCTGTGCACAGTGAAGGACCAGGCGCCGGAGCAGGTCCAGCAGCAGCTGCAGGACGGCGGGGCCCGCACTCCGGCCCAGCTGCGGGGACGAGAGCCACACACCCCCTCAGACCAGAGCAGTCCGTGCCGGGTCCCCAACCAGGAGGTGTGACGGCACCACTGACAAGGACCCGGAGAGAACGGCAGCTGCTCACACTGTTTGGCAGTGAGGGTAGCCCTGTATCCAGACCGAGCACAGGGCCTGTGCCAACCCAGCCTGCACCCTGCCCTGAGCCTCTGCGAGGTACACCTGGTGCGGGAAGCTCACTGGGGAGCTGCCCAGTGAGAATGAGATGAGAGGGGCCCCTCCTGACCGGCAGCTGCAGGTGGCTCCCACCAGCAGCTGCTGAGGGGTCCGCTGGTTTTGCAAAGTGAGGCCTGGAGAGAAGGGTGCGTGACCTGGCCTGCAGGTCTGCTCCAGGCAGAGCGGGCAGCTGGGCACAGGTGCTAAACCAGCTGCCCTGGCCTCAAGTGGCGGCTCGGCCCGTGGTCATGTGGACCAGGCGGTGCACGGCCCCAGGACTGATCGGTACGGTTGGTGGGTGTGGCCCAGTAGGAGGGCAGCTCACCTGCCCGAAGCGCTCCACGGTGCTCCGCAGGTACAGCAGCACGTGGGTCACCGAGCGCAAGACGTGGTGCATGGGGAGGCGGCAGATGGCAGCCCGCAGTTCTGCCTGAGCCCCCTCGTCCAACAGCCCGCCCTCGCTCTGGAAGGCCGTCTGCAGCAGAGCGCCGAAGGAGCTGGCCGAGGGGCCCTGGGGGGCCGGGCTGCCCGGCATCTGCAGCGGCTTGGGGAGGAGGAAGGACAAGTCACCACAGGCACGGCAAGTGCGCAGCCAGGGGGCTTGCTGGGCGGAGGCTGCGTGGGGCCCGGAGGGGTGAGCAGCACCGTGACCCCCGCTGGGGGTGGGCTCTCGTACCCGAGCACCAGCCTCGAGTGCCGCCCACACCGCACCCTCCACAGGAACTGCTGCTCCGCCAGTTCGCAGGCAGGCAGGGGTGCACCGGGGAGGAGTGTGGGCTGCGCACTGGGGGCGGAAGGGGGCCTCCTCCCTTCTCCCCCGGGGTCAGCAGAACAGGCTGCGGGGAGGGGTGCCGGCAAGGCCGGTCTGACAGCTGAGCACCAGGAGCCCAGGGGCCTGCCAGGGGCAACAGAAAATGGGCCCGTGTGGTGAGCTGAGCACGGTGGGGAAAAAGGAAAAGCACCTCCGCCCCACAGCCAGACGTTGGCAGGCAGCGGCACGGCAGCTCGGGGTCTCGCCCCACCAGCCAAGCAGCCCGACACCACCCTGCTTCCTGACCAGGGAACCGAGGCCAGGGAACGGCGCCCCACCAATGACGCCCCTGTGGCCCTGCAGCTGTACTCACCGAGGCCTCTCGGGCGGGCTCAGGGATCCAGAGACTGTAGTACCCGTGGAAGCAGGACAGCCAGGGGCAGCAGGGCGGGGCCGGAGGCTCGAACCTGTCGTACGCCTGAAGCAGGAGGCACAGGGCCAGAGGGTCCCGCTGGCTGTGCAGGATGTCAGTGAGCACAGCTGTCAGATACGCCACGACGCTGTCTCCTGCAAAGGGCCAGGTCCATGGGCAGAGCCCGCGGGACCTGCCTTCCCTGACCCATCAACACACTGGCTCACGTGTCTGAGTCCAGAGCGATGCACACCGCCGCCCCCAGGGGTCCCACAGCCACTAGCGGGCCGTGCCACCACCGCAGGCCTCATGAGGCTCCGCTCGACTGCAGAGCCTCCAGGTCCTTCGGCCCCAAGTGCAGGCCCAGGTGTGGAAGAGGCGGGGCAAGGCCACCAGGCCACCCCCTGGCAGTTCAGCTGAGACCACACCGCCGGTCCCTCCCAGGCTGAGCCACAGCAGCCCTGCTGACTGCACCCCCTCTTCCTCTGTAGCAAGGCCCCAGCACCCCACTCCCCCTGCTGGAGGGCAGCTGCCCAGAGCACCGGATGTGACCTGAGCTGTCACAAGGTGGAGAAAGAGACCCTCACTCCCTAAACTGCTGAAGTGCTGGGGACTCATTGCGACCACAGCACCCTGAGCACCCTGACCAATCACACACTGTGCTCAGGGGCACTTCCTCAGGCCTGAGATGCCTGGGTGCCCAGCAAACGCTGAGAAGTCACACCTTGGCATCAGGGTGTCAGACAAACACTGAAAGGACTGGCGGTGTCTGCAGCAGACACGCCATCTCAGACTCACCTTCCACGCCGTGTCCCTGCCCGCCGCGCTCCCCCAGGGATCCCCCAGATGGCCGACGCAGCCACACTGTCCGGCCCACAGCGAGTACCTGCTTCGCCTTCTGTCCCGAGCAGCTTATTCCTGGCCTCCAGGGCTGCGGGGACCACGGCGCTGAATGGGAACGTGAGCAGGGCCATGTCTTCGCTCAGCTGGAACCCGACCTCCTCGTCCAGGCCCTCGCTGCCCTCTGCCAGCACGTCCACCATGTCCAGCACGTCTGAGCCAGGGTTTGGCCCGGGCAGAGCCCCACATGGAGGGAGGAAGGACGAGAAAACATGGGCGGAAAGGTGAGCACTGAGCCGCTCTCGGGGACAACGCCTGACACAGCGTGAGTCCAAACAGGGAGGATGCGTCCTCAGGATCGCCGGCTCCCTGCCAGGCGTGCCGGCTCGGGCGGCAGCGAAGCCCCGAGAGGCCTGCCCGCACGCGAGGGCAGACGGCCCAAGCCGAGGAGCCGAGAGTGGGAGGCGCAGCAGAGGGGCCCGGACCCTGACCTTGCCAAGTGCCGGCCGGGTGAGGCTGACGAGAGGGCCTTGTCCACACACAGTGACGACAGTAACAGTGCCCGCAGAGGGCTGGTGAGGAGGGGACACACCCACAGCCCCAGCAGTGCTGGGTCAGCACCGGCACCAAGTGAACGGCGCACAGAGGGACAGAGCACGCCGTGCACAAGCTCGGCGCACGCTGCCGTCTCGGGAACGGACCGGCCGGCTTTCATTTCCACCGCAGGCTGGCCTTTGAAACCCAGGGAGGGGACGTCAGCCCTCTGCGTGACCCGTCTCTAACCTGCCCCTGCAGCTGACCCTCGGAGCCCTGGGGGCCGGGACCGGGAGCGAGCAGTGCCTACCGTCGATGTGGGAGACAGGGATGCTGGCGTCGTCGGCGTCCTGCCCGGCGGCAGTGGCCTGCAGCGCGCTGGCTTCCTGGACGGAGTCCGAGGCTCTGTCTGTGTACACGTAGGGGTTTGCCACCAGTGTCAGCAGGACCTGGGCATGCGGGGGCCGGGTGGGCAACGGGCGGTCACACACGAGGCAGGAAAAAGCGCCCCAGACGCGGCAGGAGGAACAAAGGGACGGACTGGGATGCGACAGCTCTCGGCAGGAAGAGCATCACTGCTCCTCGGGGTTTAAAAGCCCTTCGTTGAAGAGCTGTCCTCTTTGAGTGTCCGCGTCACTTAGCAGACCCCGCTCTGCGCACGCAGTCCCCACTGCGGAACTGAGGGCACACAGCAGCACGCTCCCCTCTTACAGGCTCGGCTGTCAGCAGGAACCGGCAGGAACGGCAGGACCGGCCCTGACTCGCCCAGGGGACCCAGGGCGGAACCCTCCCACAGCGCCCCCTCCAGGGGGGCTGTGCGCTCACTCGTTCCAGAAACCGAATCACAGCCTCCTGCCCGTCGTCCGCCGTGCCCTCCAGGTGCTCCAGCCACAGCCCCAGCTCCTTCCAGGTGTGCTCGAACACGCCTGTGTCCCGCAGGGTCTGCCCGGCAGAGGGAGCCCGGGTCAGCCGGAACCCGCCCCCGCGGGAGCTGACGGTCCCGGTGTCACCCCACGGGCTCTCCCTCCGGCCACTGCCGCCGCCGCCGTGGGGCACACGGAAGGGCGTCTGCTCTGGCGGAGGGGCCCGGCCCGCATCCCACTGCTCTCCTTCCACCCCCGGTAATGAACGGGGACACAGTCCAGCTGCCGTGCAGGAGTCCCACTTCTCCCCGGACTTTCGGGGAGTCCCAGGCACATCTGCACACCTCAACCCTCAGCCTGACTGGGAATCCCTAGGGCAGTGAACCAGCAGTGAGTCTCAGCCTCTTGGTGTGGCACCTCGAGACTCAGACCTGGGGTGAGGAGCACCCCGAGTTTCTGAGAGAGTGGGACTGATGATGAAAAGAACTGGAACCTGTGGGGGTTAGTCAATGACACCCCCGAAGGGCCTGATGACAGAGACTCGGGGTCTCAGTCGCCCTGCGGCTCAGCTCACTGATGGTGAGTCTGACCACACCAGACCCACGCGCTTGCCATCAGTCAGTGACCGTGACACCCGGCCAGGGTCAAGTTCACACCTGCTCGAGCTAAAGGGAAGTGAAATGCACAAAGATCAAGGCCTGGACACGCACGTCCTTCAGGCAGCTCAGGTGCAGTTAAGGCGGTTGGTTAAAGGGCAGTGCGGGGAACGCCGTTCAAAGGGAGGGAAACCTCCGCGCCCCAAACGACCCCGCACGTCCCCAGTGCTCGCTGCAGAGTGAGAACCAGACAGGAGGCGACCTCCGGCCACAGCCAGACCCGGTGGAGCCTGGGGACACTGGCCAGGCCCACAGGTCGGGGCCGGAGTCAGCCTCCCTGTGCCCCTCGGAGCGCACGGTGCCGTGTGGCGGACGGGACCGCGAGGTCAGGGTGAGGATCAACCGGGCCCCCGGAGGCCTGCCGCCTGTATCCTGAGCCCAGAAAGGCGCGGCACAGCCACGGCGTCCTCACACGGCACCTTTCCCCAGGCCCACCCGGGGGAGAAACACTCCCAGGGAGACTGTGACTGGCACAGACGCGCAGGGCCAGGGCTCCAGCTCTCGCTTCCCCACACCGCAGCGCCGCGCCCCCGGGCACCGTGACGAGACACCACCGACCGGCTGCCCTGGAACCTGTGTTTCCGGGCTGTAGCAGCCATAATTCAGCCACGTGGCGTGGGCCCCACCCACCAGGGCCGGCCGCACTCCTCGGGGTGTGAGTGTGGGGGGGGGGCAGGGACGCACCTTGACGATGAGGTGTTTGGTGGACGATTTCAGCTGCAGGTGGGTGCTGGTCACAAACATCTTCATCAGCAGGTAGAACACGGACCGCTCCCCTCCGACGACATCTGCCTCCGGGCCCTCCTGCGGTGTGAACAGAATGGCAGCCTCGTGACGGAGGCCACTGTGCGGGGCACACATATGCCAGGCCGGGGGCCTCCAGGGTGTGGCTCCATCTCAGCCAGCTGCAGCTCGGGACGACCACAGGGGCCATGTGTACAGCGACCCTCGGGAGCCAGTGAGCTGCCCCCGCACCCCCACACGGCCAGGCGGTGGTGACAAAGGTAGTGAAGGGGGGGACACCTTGGGCGGGTGCCATCCTGGGCCCTTCACACGCACTGCCTTAGAGTGCCCTCCAGGCCACCCCGAGGTGGGGCAGCTGCAACCCCCACCGCTTACATGCACACTGAGGCACGGGGGGTGACCGCTGTTCAGGGGCCAAGCTGGGGTCCTGCCGGGGGCCTGTGGGTGTTGGAGGGGGCGGCCCAGGACCAGCTGGCCCATCGTGGTCTGTGCTGGCTGCTGCAGGAGGCGGGGCTCCCTGCAGCGACTCCGTGTGGGTCGCAAGCCCCTAATAGAAGATTTCGGGCTTGGAATGTGTGTCCCAAGGGAGTGCGGAGCCCCAGCTTCCCAGCCCGAACCCCACAGCATCAGTGTCGCTGGAGTGAGGCTGCGGCCCTAGAATGAGGGTGACCCTGCACCCAGGAGGCTCTGGGGCCCCTGCAGCCCAGCCAGGCCCCTCATAAACAGGAGGGGGGCCCCCAGGGTACAAGTTGATACTTTAATCCCAGCTCTTTCAAGGCCTAAGGCCTCTGCTCACTTTCTAACTGAACCCCTGGCACCCCACAGCCTGTGCAGCTGGGGTAATAACTACCACTGCCGCCCTGGCTTCTCTGTGGGTCCTTGGCTGTGACCCCCCAGCAGGGAGTGAAGTGAGAGCTGGGCTCTGGCAGCTGCCCGGCTCCAGCCCTGGCCCCCTGCCCTGGCTGGGACTCTGTGCCCCGTCAGTCAGCTGTGGCCAGCAAGCTGCCGCAGAGCACACGTGTGGAGCCCGGCAGGCAGCACGCTGTCCGCCAGGATGCAGGCGGCGCCCAGAGAGAGGACGGGGGGACACACAGCACCCAGGGCCGCGGCATCGCTGCACCTTTCTGGAAACACCACACATGCAGGGGTCGGGTGCCCTTCCACGCCACCGGGTCCCGAGACCTTAAACAAGACCTGAGGCTCTAAGGGAAAAGGCAGGGGGTGCTCCTCCCGCCTGGTCACCACCAGGCAGACCCACCTCTACCCAGTGCATCGGCGTTCCCCCCACGGGTCAGCACCGTGCTCTGCAGAAAGCCCGGAAGATGCCACTGAAGACCCAGAAGGGCGCCCGCGTCCGCTGACTGTCCCCCAGCCTCACCCCCCGCAGTTTGGGGTCCAGTCCTGTCTCTGCGTCGAGTTCTTCCAGGACGAGGACAAAGGGGGGAAACACGTTTTACTCTATCTCCCTAAAGGTTTAAAAAGAGACTTCTAAAAACTTTTTCTTTCAAATATTCACCCAAGGACGTGCCCACTGATTTCAGGGAGAAAGAAAGGGAGTGAAACATCGATGTGAGAAACATCGATCGCCGCCTCTGCAAACGCCCTGAACAGGGACCGAACCCACGACCTTCTGGTTTACAGGACAGTGCTCCAAACGACTGAGCCACACGGCCAGAGCCCAAAAGACTTTGAAATGGAAAAAAAAAGTGAAACAGTTGAGACAAAAAGCACAAAACCCGGCAGCAAGGCTGTGTTTTCAGTTATGCACCTTGTCTGGGAAAAGCAGTCGCAGAACTCCAGGTTCACAAAACCAGGACCTGCCCCTGCTCTGGGCACGTCCCCGTAAAACACGGACCCTCACCACTGCCCCTGGTGCCCCCAACCTGCCAGGGTCCGTCCTGACCCAGGGGGCCACCCCTAGCAAGCACGCAGGTGTGCCGAGGACAGAGGGCCGAGGGCCGGCGCCCCACCTGTGCCTTTAGCCACGCGAACTTGCTGGCGGGGAGCTCCAGGGCCACCTTCAGGATGTGGTGCTGCAGGATCGGGGGCACCTGCTCGCGAAGGCCCTGCTCGGAGACGGCGCCTGTGGCGGGAAAGGAGTCAGGTCAAGGGCAGGCGGGCGCCACACCCAGAAAGGCGCCGGCGCAGGTTCCGCCCCCCAGCCCTGGGGTCACCCTCTGCCCAACGCCCTCCCCGGAGGCCCAGCCCTCGCGACAAGGAGCCGAACCCCACCTGTCACTCGGCCGGCAGACCTCTCCCTACAGCCTGATGCCGCCCCCCTCCCGCCCTGCGCCGTCTGGGGCTGCTCTCTGCCCACCCTGCCATCTCCCGCTCACATCACCCTCAGTGTGGGGGCACAGGCCTGGCCCCCCCACACTGTGGGCAGATGGCAGCCACCTGAGACAGTCCCTGCCCTCTGGCCGGATTTCTACGTTTCTTTTTGCCTGGGAAGGACACGGCTGCTACATACAAATGGCCCATTCGAGTAAACTTCCTGTTTCCCAGAGAAGAGTAGCCTCCCTCCCGCCACCTAAACAGCCAAGTGCAGCTCTGGCTGGGCCGCCCCACAGCTCAGACACACCGGGGGCTGTGAGGCTTCCGCCGAGGCCCCGCCACAAAGCTGGCTCTGCCAGACGAACGCTCCCACGGAGGAAACGCAACCGGGCAGGCTGTGCACCGGATGCACCGGGTAAAACGCACGGCTGCGTCGGGGCGCCCGTTGGAGAAGGGACTGCCTCCTCTGGCCTCCCCGTCCCTTGGGAAGGGGCTTCAAGGGGAACGTCCCCGGTCTGGTTTGCTGGGCGCCCGTGGCCACAGCTCGGGCTGCCTTCTGGTCCCCGCTCTCACTGTGGCTGGGCACCCCCTGCTGTTTGCGCAGGGAGACGGGCTGCACAGACCGTTCCCGCTGGGAACCGCACCTCTCAGGAGCTTGCTGAAGTCGAAGCTGTACTGCGTGACCACGTGCGGGACCACCTTCTGGTACAGGCAGATGGCCTGGAGCAGGGCGGCTCGCAGAAGCACGGTCTCTGCGTCGCCTGAGCAGGAGGGGAACAGCTCCAGTCAGGAAGCGCACTGTCCCCGTCAGCCAGCGGCACAGGGTCGGGCACCCATGACCCAGCGCGCCAACCACGGAGGCTGTGGACAAACCCCTCCCCCATTCCTGAGTCCACACAGTCAAGGTTAAGGCTGGGCAGACAGCTGGTCCACGTCCCCACTTCAGTGGTGCGACTTCAGGCAGGTCAAGGCCACCGTGTCTCTGTGCTCCGGTGTCCCCTGAGCAGTGGGACCCCGGCAGTGCCGACCGCACCGGGCCACTGAGGCAGGGGTGGTGGGCAGGATACAGACATAAGATACAAAGCCCGCCACTCAGCTAATAACAAGGTCTGTCACCGAGTCTGATTACCAGGGACCATGCAGCCACCTCCACCTGCACAGCCCAAGAGGGGCCCCCGCCCACCCCACCCAGAAAGGCCCGTCTGTGACACGTCAGCATTCAGCACCCGCCCCTTCCCAGCCCGCCCTGCAGGCTGCCGCGCAAGCCCTCACCACAGGAGGGCGCCTCGGAGGGCTCCGCACAGGCCGCAGGAGCCCGGCTGCCCTGCGTCTTTCCTTTCTCATCATTGGGTTTTGCGTCCTGTTTGCCAAGGGATTGCCAGACCCACACGATGGTGTTCAGGTCTGGTAAAACCTAAATGGGAAAAGAGACGAACGAGTCACACAAACGAGGAAGAGAAACCGGTAAGGAGAACCCCCCCCACAAGAGGAAACACCAAAGTGGGGGGCATGGGTGTGGGTGGGGTCGGCTCGGCGGGACCAAGCCCCCTGCCTCGCCGGCTGCTCTCAGGTCCAATTCCTGGAACTGGGCACAGTGAGGCTTTGGCGAAAACAAGTCCGGTAATTAAAACATGTCCCTTCAGACCCATTCACCTGAGCAAGGCCTTGGGAACAAAGGGGCACGCCCTTATGACTCTCTGGGGGGCCTGCCCGGCGTGACCTTGGCTCTTTCAGGGCAGCTGGCTAGTGTGCAGACGACTGGCCTTCCTGACTTACCAGAATAATCTGTGGGGAGGAGGAGCAAGAGGGGCTTCCCAGCAGCCCCTCCCACCAGCCTGCGTGCAGCATGGGGGAGGGTGGGGTACGCCAGCTCCTGATGGGACTCGGGCCCCAGGACCACCCCGACGGACCCCTTCCCTTCGCCTCTGTGCCCTCTGTGGCCGGCACTCCGGAAAGCCCCCGGATGCTCCTGCGGGAAGCCCAGGCCCGGCTGCCGCGCCCACCTTGCTCAGGGCTTCTCTGAAGAGCCGCACGAAGTCCTCCATCATCGGGGCCGTGTACACGCCGGGCTCCAGCCAGGCCTCTCCGCTCAGGCAGTGCTCGATGGTCTTCAGCGCCCTCCTCAGGACGGCGGAGAGAAAGCACAAGGCCGTGTGCTTCACCGACTTGCTGTCCAGCTGGGGAGACACGTGAAACCCACGTGTGCCTGCAGGCCACACTGCAGGCGCACCTCCGTGCCCTGGACTCGGGCCCCCAGGGAAACCACACGAGACGTGGAGAGGAGAGGTGGTCACGAATAGAGGAGCAGAGCATGGTTTTCTATTTCTGTCTCGTCGTCTGTGGTGTGTGTGCCCTGATAACCTCTCCACTCACGCGATGGCCCACGTCACCAACAGCCAACATGGCACCAGATGGCCGCCAGCCCCTGCGCAAGCATTCACGGCAGCCACAGAGATGACAGGCTGGGGTGGCAGGAAGAGCCGGTGCTTTGCTGGGGGACGTGAAGCCCAGGTACCAGGCTGCCGACACCCTGACTCTCTGCTGCATTCGGAACAGCAGGAGAACCATCACAGTCCGCACTCACTGCAGAAGCTGAAGAACTTCCCAGAACCTGTGCTACTTATGGCCAAACACAAAAGGGCAGGCGGAGGCTGGTCGAAGGGTGCCCAGCACTTCCTGGGCACCGGGAAACACACGCCACGCGGGGCCCAGCCCAGCCAGCTCCACCGCTGGCCGATGCCGGAGAACAGCCGAGTGCGTGGGCACCGGTGCGGAACCCGGGGACTCCGCCAGGTAGCAACGGGAAGGTTTTCTGACAGACTCCCAATTTAGTGACCGGGATGGCCCACCCCCAGCAGCCTGACGAGCAGGGGATGGTGCTACTCACACCCCACACCCTCAAGTCGCTCTCCAGGAAGCACCCCGACCAGCAGCGGCCCCACCCCAATCACCAGCAGCACAGGCGGGGCCCGGACAGGTGTTCACAGGTACACCCGACGGCTGGCCCGTGGCACGAAGCTCAGAGCAGCCCAAGACCCCGCCTCCGACACCTCATTTCCTGTTTCTAAAATAAGCTAACTCTTCCTGATCCTAAAACACATACTACTAAAAATGGTCAAATGATACTGTCAAGAAAAGAAAAACGTAAAACAGTCTCGAGCCCCGCGCAGCACTGTCTCACTCGGGACTCACCCACTCGCGGCTCGGGAAGGCCCGGAAGCCCAGGCGAGGTGGTGGCCCCCCCTCGTCCCACCGCCGGGATCGGGGCTGCCCCCCCCCCACAACAGCAACACCAGGCGCCAGGGGAGGGAGCAGCAGGCCCGCGCGCCCCAGCTGCCCTCGTGGGCTCGCAGGACAGACACGCCCCGGACCTGGAGGTGGCACTGCCTGCAAGCCCAGTGAGGGGAGACACTGTCTCCCAGGAGGCAGGCGGGCACCGGGGCACCTGTTTTGCTATGATTTGGCATCCACAACGCAGGCTTTCTCCCAGTCCCGCACGTCTTCTCTCTGCCCCTCACCCCACTGCCCACTCTCGGCACAAACCCTTGGAGTGGGGGGGCCCAGCTACCAACGCACGCCTAGCCCCCCACACGGTCTGGGGAGCCTCTGCCCCCCAGCATCAGGCCACCACACTCAGGTTGTGTGATACCCACAGCAGACACTGGCCCCCCTGTGCTCATGTGACCAGCCAGCCTGCCCTGCGGGGCCACCCGCCTGTCCCAGACCCCCGGGCACTGCACCCCCTCAGGTGGCGGCCACCTGGGTCCAGGAGGAGCAGGAGGGCCTGGGCCCACAGGGGCCAACAACTCCAAGGCGTCCACCTAAGGCCACAGTGTGGTGGACGCACGAGACCCTCAGAATGTGGCTCCTGGTGGGACCTGGGGGCCTTCTGCAATGAACGATGACGTGAAATCCACTCATCATTCCTTCCTCGAGCACGCCCTCCAAAGAACGCCTGACACAGCTGGTCCTCAAAGGAAGAGTTTCCCAGAGGTTTTAACGCCACTCACTTAAACCACAAAAGGAAGGGGTGTCAGGTGATGTCCGTCCCACGCTCTTCAGGGGTCCCAGACTTGTGAGACTGACGCATGACACCCGGCCTCAGGCCCTGCCTCATGGAGAGACACCAGACTGCTGCCGGGCTGGGCAGGACCGCTGCCACCTCATCCCGGGCAGGAGCGCCCTGTCCCTGGTCGGCGGTGCAGGGGAAGCCCCAGAGGCTCAGGGGCAAGTCGCCACCCAGCACACCAGGCTGCTGCCCTCAGAAACGCCCGCCTCGCAGCCAGCAGTGAGCAGAAGACAATTCTAGACGCAGCCAGCACTTACGTTCAGTGCCTGGGTGAACATGATCTTGTTGCACACCGGGGGCACCGTGGTCACCATCACCATGGCCAGGAGGCGGGGCAGGGGGACGAACTCTCTGGTCTGAAACGCCCGGGAGACGTCCGGCTGGGCCTCGTAGATCTGCAAGCAGGAGAACGCGGGTGAGCTGGTGCCGGAGGCCGCGTGCCACACCCGGGCACCGTTGCACCCGGGCAGGAGTCCCAGGCCTGGAAGAGCAGCCCGCAGAGCCACAGGCCAAAGAAGCGGGTCACCAAGCCAGTCGTTCTGGGCAGTGACCTTCAGAGCAGAGCTCGGCCCGTGGCCCAGGGGCCTCTTAGAGCCTCTGGTGGCAAGTCGCTGCCAGAGCTCACACGGCACCGCTCGCAGGTGCAGCACTTGACGGGCACCTGGCAGACGAGGCTCTCTTTCCGGAACTTGGGAAAGTAGAACGTGTTCATAGACAGCAAAATCAGGCTCCCAGGAGGTTACAGAATTCCCCCCGGGTCACTCGGCTAGTGAGCAGACTCGAGGACCGATGCCCGGGCCTGCAGAGGCCGCGCACCCGCCCCCGTCCCGGGGTGGCCACCGCAGGGCCCTGCCCGGGGCGCGGAGGCAGAAAACAGTCCCAGGCATCGCAGCAGCGGGCAGGCCGAAACGAGTGAGTGTGCGGGAGACAGACAGACAGGGACCTCACTGGTAGGCAGGGGGACGCCTGCACCGCTGGTCAGGAGGCAGTGACCTCGCACCCACTCGCCGCAGCAGGCCGCTGTGCTGACTGCTCGCCACAGCAACCCTCGCAACCGACCCTACAATGAGGACGTCCCACTAATGCCAGCCTCGCTCTGCGGAGACTCGCGGTGACCTCACTGTCTGCCGAGTCTGGGTGAGAAAGATGAAACTGCCTCGGCCGACTCTGAGTCGGTCTACCCCTCACAGCCGAGTCCGGTGAACAGCAGGACGGACGGGCAGACGGCACAGAGTCACGCGGCTGCGGTGCCACCCCCCCGCCCCGAAGAAGCCCAGCCGAGTGCGTCACCAGGCCACCCCGCTCCGCCTGCCCGGGGTCTCACCTTGCTCAGGAGCTTCATGTTGTTGGACCAGGTGGACTTCGCTCTCGGGAGGAAGGAGAACGTGACCTCCTTGAAGTATCTGTTCAGCAGGTCCGGGCACACCCTGAGGATGCTCACCACCAGCTCAGCCACCAGCTCGTCGTCAGCTGCCGTCTTCAAACCCAACAGGAAGTGCAGCAGCGTCAGGTTCCCTCCTCTGGGCGGGGGGGAAGAGGGCTCAGCCACAGAGCTCAGGATAAGCACCCAGCCTCGGGCAATTCCATTTCTGGTCAGTTTCTCTCATGGCGTAAAGAAGGGTGTTCTCACGGCCTGTGGGGGGCCCCCACTGCAGGGCTTGAATTTCACCCCTCCACTCTGTCCCCACCACCACCCCTGCCATCGGACTTGCATAGAGAGAGGGAGACTCTGCGTCCATCCACCCGGGTCTTCCCTGTCTGCCTGAAGTCAGGCTAGTGTGAAGAAAGGGCCAGACCGAGATCGGAGGCTCCCAACCACACTGGCCCATCTCCTTTGCTCACCCACGAAAAAGTGGGCGTGTGCACAAGCATGCAAAAGAGAAAATGCATCTGTCTCCTGAAACTCTCGTTTTGTTTACATAAAGTGCTCCAGCTCGGCCCCAGTCCGAGCGCCCACGACGTTCCTTCTGAGAGAGCTTCTGCCTGCTGTTGCCAGCTCACACTTCTCATCCCACGTCTCCACTTAGCAGCTGAAAGAAGCTAACCCAGGAAGGAAAATCTTCAACATTTGTCCCTATGTGGGGCGGCTTTCAAAAGTATAAGAAGGTTACAAAAAAGAAGAAGCCAGAAACCCCACGGATATTAAAACCCACAGGAGCCGGAACCGCAAGGCCCTGGGCTGAACTCCAGACCCCGTTTAAGAAAAGAAGCCTTTTCATGTCTGCTTGACCCTGCAAAGCCCTGACCTCCAGAAAACCCTGTGAAGGTGCCCCACACGCATGGCATGCTGCTGGCCTCTGGGACCTCACCATTTTGTATCCCCTTATGAATGGAGTAAATCTAAAATGGTACATGACAAGCTTCACATATAGTAAAAATTTTTCAAAAATTAAATTAGTAAAATGTGGATCAGAAAGCCATCTTCTTACGAGCTTCAAATTCTTACTATGAAAAGTTCATAGGAAAAACATGCTTTGCAATGTGCTGTCAAATGAATGGAACATTAAATTTATGGGTGCTAGAAATACTGTGGCTACTTTAGTCAGCAATAATGTAACAACATAGGACACTTCATTAACAACCTAATGATGGGGAACACTTCACCCAGCAACAATGAAACAATGTAGTGCACTTTGCTCAGCAACAACGTAACTATGCAGATGCATTTCACTCAGCAACAATGTAACTATGCAAACGCACTTCCCTGGGCAACAATGTAACAATGCTGAGCACTTCACTCAGCAACAATGTAACAACACAGAACACTTTCTTTTCCAGAGCACAGGGCCCTCCCTGCTCCAGCCTCCTCTAGGCAGAGGCCAGAGGACTTCAATTCCACTTTAGAGATGAGGGGCAGAGGCGAGAGGCACCCGGCTGGCACTCCCAACCACAGTAGGCCCATCACAGTCTGGCCCACCGTCCACCTCTGTAAACCAGGCTTCGCAGCACACAGTCACACCACAGTTTATGTCCACACTGTGAACGTGCTACAATGGCACAGCTGAGCAGTCCCCAAAGAGACCGTCAGGCCTACCAAGCCTCAAACACTGACCACGGGGCCCTTCAGAGAACCAGCCCGCTGATCCTTGCCTGCACTGTGGTGCCTTGCTTTCATTGACCACCTATGGTGTCCCAGCCTCTGCAGACCAGCCTCTGTTCCCATCTTCACCCACCAGGTAACAGACGAGCAAATAAATAAGCACACGACACGTGGCAGTCACAGCCAGAAGCAGAGCCAGGCAATAGGACAGGGGAAGCAGGCTAGCTGTTCGGCAGGGGCCACCAGTGAAGGCCTCCCTGAGGTGGGACATCAGCACAGAGACCTGCTGCAATGCGGGAGTGAGGCTTTGGACTGCTGGGGACACACGTTTCAACTTTCTCAAGCTTTCCATGAGTGTCACCACACGCAAACTCCCTTCCTCTCCCAGAGACACAAACCCTTGTTTTGAAAAGTTCATAGAAACATGCTTTGCAATGTTTCTATGCCCAGGGCCTCAGAGCTGTGGGTAACCCCAGCCTGTGTGAACAGACCCACAGCCACGGGCTGACTGGGTGTGCTCGTTGGACGACGAGCGAGTTCACGGACCTACGTGGGGGGAACTGTGTGGTGTAAGTGCGGCATCTATTACGTCGGAGCGCAGAAGCCACCGTGTTCTCAACGACGAGAAAAAGAAGTGGTGTGGCAAGTGCAATCACAACAGCCTCAGTCGAAACACGGCCAAAGTCACGAGACGAGCACAGAGAACCCCCACTGCGATATCCCGTTTCCTGACCGGTGAAAACGACCTCAAACAACCCACATCCTTACAGCAAGATGTCGCAGGGTGAAACTCAGCCCCTCACAACCACCACGTGCCCACGCGTTCATGGTCAGGCAGGACAGCGCGGCTGGTGAGCATCGTGTCTGACGGCTGCCGTGGCCGTCAGAGTGACAGCCCGCAGGTGTGCTCCCCACGCCGAACGCGGTCTCGCCGCCACGGTTACGAGATAGGGGACCACTGGACAAGCAAAGCTTTAAATGCTCGCCGGTCCGCAGCCGCCCCTGAGGAGGGCCGCCCACTGCCTGGAGGGGGACTGTGGGACCAGGGCCCCGGACTCCACTCCAAGCCTGCCCCTCGCAGCGTGGGGGGCCCGGGCTCCCTGCAAACCTGGAGCAACGATGACCAACCGCCCCCCCAGCCCCGGGATGGCGCTGAGGCCGTCAGGGCTGCCGCTGTGGGACGGCGAAGGCAGACTCGGTCTCGGGCCCGGCCTCCGAGTGAGTGCACACGCACCTCCCTGGGCCCGTGTCCTGCCAGTGCGCCAGGTGCCCAACTGCCACCTGAGACCTTTTCCCCGCGGGCACACGTGATCAGAAGTCCTTGGTATCCAACCACCTCCCCGAAATCAGGGAGCATCTCCATCACTGGTTCTTGCCCCCAGACCCACCCTTTCGGCCTCACTGCACAGTTGCGACTTCTAAGGACACGCCCCTCCCACGCGGGGGCGTCGAGCTTTACCTGCCGGAGGTGCCCAGGGAGGCGTCGTAGAAGTTGATGCCGTGCTTGAGCGAGCAGCACAGGTCCAGCAGGAAGCCGTGCACCAGCTCCCTCACCACGGCCTTCCCCGCATCCCCGGCAGAAGCCTGTGGGGTTCAAGACCGCGGTGAGGGTCCCGAGGCGGCAAACCTCAGGAACAGCTCCCGGAGGGAGACCAGAGACAGCGCGGAAAACACGGCTCTCGGAACCGTTTCAAAAAAATACACAAAACACCCAGAAACACCAATCGAGATTTAAAAATACTCCGAAAAGGGGCGAGTTTAAACCTGTGTATTTAAGTGAGCTTAAGAATAACTGGATTCCTCTTGTTCTTTTCCATAAAACCCCACACCGGGGAGCAGTTTTACTGAGCTCCCAAGGCTTTCTGGTAACAGATGCACAAAACATACTCAAAACAGGAGGCCACAGGCTAAGGGTAGGCAAAGGTTTAAAGGGAGGTGCACCCTGGCCGGTGTGGCTCAGTGGATTGAGCACGGGCCTGCGAACGGAAGGGTCACCGGTTCGATTCCCAGTCAGGACACACGCCTGGGTTTCAGGCCAGGCCCTCAGTAGGCAGCGTGCGAGGGGCAACTGCACACTAAGGTTTCTCTCCCTCTCTGTCTCCCTCTCTTCCCCTCTCTAAAGGCTCACACGCTGCCCCGGGGCCGGCGGGCGGCAGAGGGCGGGCGGCGCTACCTCGGCGTTTTCTAGGTCCACGTCCACAACCCCCTTCCAGCCGTAGAGCGACGCGATGTGGGTGAGCAGCTGCCCCGTGAAGAAGCGCACCTTCTGGGTTTTGGTGATGTTTTTGTTGTGAACCACCTGAAAACAGCGAAACAAACCAAGTTCAGGGAATTCCACTTTAAAAGGCGTCCACTGACTTTTTCCATTATAAAAGTAACGTAGGCTTGACAAAATATTTGGCCAAGAAAAGGGAACTATGTGAGGACAACTCGGAAGTCACAGAGAGTCCCACCCTCCTAGGACTTTGGGACACGTCCCTTTGCCCCCCACACACGACACGCGTGTGCGTGCACCGGGAGGGGTAGGGTGTCTGCGCCTCTGAGGGTCCGCCCGACAGCCGTGCCCCTGCTTCTGTGCAGGCAGCACGAGCTCTCCCCACGGCCGAAACAACCCTCAGGGACCGACCCGTTTGGGCCGAGCGTCACCCCGTCCTCCTGGAGGCCCCGGCGGGCGCGGTCAGGCCGGGCCCTCCTCCGCTGTGACGGGCGGCCTCACCCAGCGCACGGCACACGCTCTCGGTCCACCCCCAGCAACCCCCTGAGCCTCTGGGGGTTTCTGTTCTCCCGGCAAGTTTCCCGGGCGGCTCTGCCGCACCCGCCACCCCAGCCCCAGGCCTGCACACGACCTGGAGACCTCGGACACACGCTGCCAGACCCCCATGCTCCTGAGGGCTGGACACTGCCTCCAGGAAGGCCCCACTCCGAGCATCTTTGCTAAAACATGTCGGTGCTAATTGGGAGGTGAAAGAACCTATGTCTCATCACTCCCACTTTATTTAAATTTTTTTCTTTTATTGATTTCAAAGAGGGGAAGGGAGGGACAAAGAGAGGGAGAGAAGCACCTATCAGCTACCTCCTCCACACGGCCTGACCGGGGACCAAACCTGCAGCCCAGCCAGGTGCACTGACCGGGAATCGAACCCACGACCTTTTTGGTCTGCAGACCGACGGCTGGCCCACTGAGCCACACAGGTCAGGGACCATAACCTGTGTCACTCTAAACCAGGCTCCGAGCCTCAGCAGTGCGGAAGCCGGGGCCTGGTGGCAGCTGCGGGGCCGTCCTGTGCACGTGACTATGGGATGTCGGGCAGTATCCCTGGTCTCTCCTGCCAGACGCCAGGTGCCCTCCCCAGTTCTGGCAACCAGGAAGTCCCCACACACTGCCAGATGCCCCGCGGGGTAAGGGGCACAGTCGCCCCGCTGTGGGGTACCACTGCTGGTGAGCATTTCTTTCCCCGTGGACCGCCAGTCCAGGGTACCCCCTGCCCCCCAGCACAGCTGCGCCAGGAGGGCTAGAGCGCTACTCTAATCAGTGAAGACAGGGGTCCTGCCCCGGCTGCTACGGCTCAGTGGACGGATCACCGGCCTGAGAACCAAAGGGTCGCGGGCTAATCCCTAGTCAGGGCACCTGCCTGGGCTGCAGGCCAGGTCCCCAGTAGGGGGCGCGTGAGAGGCAACCACACACTGATGTTTCTCTCCTTTCTCCCTTCCCTTCCCCTCTCTAAAAATAAATAAGTAAAATCTTTAAATGAGAAAAGGCCAGGGATCCTTGCAGCAGGGTTTAGGGGCTCCATCACATACCTGTAAAAGAAAACTCAAGACCACACAAGAGAACGCGGGCTGGGTGTTCTCAGCCGGCCATTCACAGGTCAGAGGCCGGGATGCCTCCCGGCCACCTTGGCCAGGGCGCCTGCACCCCGCTGACCTCCAAGGTGGCCCGTCGGCAGCACGGCGCTTCTGCTTTAGAAACAGCTTTCCGCCCCACCCGTGCGACGGCCTGCGTGAGCCACGGTGCGGCTGTCGGTCCCGTGAGACACGGGAGGGACAGCAGGCGGACAGGCTGGTGAGCAAACACGCACCTTTGTTTTCAGCGTGGACAACAGCATGTTGACGGTAGAGATCCTGTCCTCCTTGACGCCCGAGCTGAAAATGCAAGGGATGAACTCTGAAAGGGAAGGCGGAGCGTTAGACTCGGGGTGAGAACAGGACAGGGCACAACCCCTCACTCGGCTGCCAACGGGGCCTCTGCCTTTGTCTGAAACCCCGCCCCCTCGGCCACACAGGGCAGTGCACGCGTCCGGGGCCCGGGAAAGCCACCGCCGCCCAGCGAGACAAGCAGGGAGCCTTCAGTTCCTGGTCCTTTGGTTCTGTTTTCTTTCCACTTCTCACGTCGCTGTCAGTAAAAATAGCCAAAGGCCGACTGTTGTGCTACGACAGTACGTGCTACGGTCACAGTTTTCCAAAACCCATCTTCGCCTGCCCTGCTCCGTGACGGTGGCCATTTCCCTGACCGCTGGGCGAGCCCGGGGTCCCTGCGGGCACCAGCACCGTCACTCTCGGACCGGGAACACCGGCGGCGGGGGCACGAGGGCATGTCCGGTCTCACTCCACACGTGCCGATGGGCACATGCTTTTTGCAGGCCCGTGACACTCACAGGAAGAAAAACCGGGAGATACCCGACACACCCAAGGGACCAAACGCCACAGCCCACAGGGGAGGGTCCACACTGCTGGCCGCTGGGTCACGGGCTGACTGCTGGCCTCGGGCGTGGCCACACTGTGCTCTGTTTCACTTCTGGTGAAGTCGGCTCCCACGGGACAGCTGTCCAGCTGCAGCTGCGTGTGAGGCTGCCCGTGAGCACACCTGCGCCTCGTTTCTGGCAGCTGCACCCCGCCCCCGGCCGTGAGGTCGTTCCCAGCCATCAGGAGAAGAGGCTCCTCAGCAAAACCTCTACCCGCATCCTTGACTCTCCTTCGGAGGAAGGACTCCACAAGGACTGGCGAGAGCGCATGACCACCGCCCCCAGGACCTGACACCAACCCCGGTGCCCTGTGGACAAGGCCCCATGGAGCCCTTAAGGAAAGGAGAGGCCCCTACACGTGGGGCCTGAGCCCAGGGGACCATGCTGGACGGCAGCCCGTGCTGTGCAGGGCCCAGGTGCTGTCCCCAGACACAGCACCGAGCGGCCCCATGAAACGCGAGCAGGCACCAGCTGACGACACTCGCCAGCCTCGAGGGAGGTGGACAGTGGGGGCCTGGCCACACCCCCTTCTCACACACCAGCCCCGAGGAGAGCCGGAGCCAGGGCGGCCTGCGGGGTCTCTGTGCCTGCACCCATCCTCTGTGGGGACTCCGCCGGCACCTTGGGGCGTGCACGCCACGACAGGAGCCCTGCCCCTCTGCTATCGCCCATGCAGCACCCGCAGACTGCCTCCACCTGCAGAACCGCTGTGCAGGGACTCTCCCAGGCACCCAGGCCAACCCCACCCCCATCACCGCAGCTCACCCACCTTTCAGCTCCAGCACCTGCAGCAGGGTGCTGTCGTCCCCAGCGACCAGGAAGGCCAGGGCAAACTGGATGTAGGCCAAGCGGACGTCGTGCATGCCCTGGGGACAGGGAGACCAGGGTCACATGAGCAGCCTCACAAGCCCCTCCTGTCCCAAAGGCCCAGAGGCCTCCTGGGCTGGGCCACCCTGCACGGCTGTCGGCACAAAGGGTGTCCTCTGTGCTCCCTGCTCCATCGCCCACTCCCCCTCTCACCCTCCCCCTCTAAGCTCTTCCTGAACCAGAAGGATGGACAAAGTGGCAGGTCCCCATGGCACCCACGCCCACGCTGCAAGTCCTCAGACCACTGGGGTCTCCAGCAGAAGACTCTCTGCGGCCAGCACCATCTGCTCTCAGTGGCCACTGAGCAACATGGCCTAGTTTTCAAAAGCCCGGAAAGTGGAGAGAACGGGGCTGCGGCTGCTGCAGTGCCTGGTTTGCAGGTTTACAAACTGACGGCCGACACCAAAGCACAGGGCCTGTCCCACCACAACCCGGCGCCGCCTCCCAGGATGGCAGCCCTGCCCGGGGACAGTGAGGGCCCGCAGCACACGCCTCAGGGCAGACACCAGGGCCAGCCGACCAGCACGCCCTGCCAGGACCATTGAGACAAACCCATGTCTCATCAACACCTCTGCACCCAAAGGACCTGGCAGGTGGTCACAGGGTGCCCGGCAGCTGCCCCCGCCGCTGACACCAGGAGCCTGTCTGTCCTCCCCGCAGCTACCCCAAAGGCACGGCGTTAGCTGCGGGGAATCGCCAGTCCTGGAGAGGTCTGCCCTGGGCACCTGACGGGCCCTGAGTGGCGGCCGCAGGGGAGAGGGTGGAGGCGCGGATGGTGACGGGGACGGTGACAACCAGCGCCGTTCCCTGAGCACTCGCCACGTGCCGGACAGTGTGCCCAGTGCGGCTGTCACTGCACTGCCACTCACACCACCGGAGGCAGAGGCCACCTCTCCCACCTGGTGTGGAAACGTCACTCCAGGCTGAGAGGATGGGCTTCATGCTCAACCCGCGTTTGCCCGCACAGAGTCTTTCTTCTTGGGGCCTCCATGACATCCCCCTTCCCTGTTCAAAGGTCAAGGCTCCCTGAGGCCTCTGTGAGCAGGGAGACGACCCTGCCTCGTTCTGGGGGCGCACGCTGCTTCCAGAGCAGGGGGGACAGGGGCACAGGGGCGGTGTCCGGCGCTGCGGTGACACAGTCTTCAGCCGTCCTCGGCCGTCCCCACCCGTCCCCACCCGTCCCCACCAAAGCAAGGCCTGCTCCGACCTGAGCCGGCTCACTGCAAACCCACGAAGCTCTGTGCTCTCCTCTCCACTCCGGGGAACCGCTGGGGCCTCTTCACAACCCGGAGGCGGGACAATGACAACGAAGATGTGAAAATGCGCTGCATCTGCTTGGAGCGGCAGCTGCACGCCAGCACCGGTACCGACCTGACGGCAGCCACGTTCGAGGCGCCGTGACCTCGGGCGGAGGGAGGCACAGAGGGGCCGAGACCCCCCCCCCCCCCCCCCCGTCCCCAGCCCTCCTGGTGCCTCCTTTCCTAAGAAACACGGGCTCAGCCCAGCAGCGCGTGCCCCCTGGTGCCGCAGGCCCCTCCCAGAAGCAGGCCCGTGACAGGCTAATCCTGCCTGGTGAACCTCAGGGAGGCCGACCCTGCGCCAACCTCCCAGAGCCCGAAGTCGCCAGGCTTCCTACATGACCCTCTGGGCTGTGTCGCCGGTGCCATAGGAACTTGGGTTCCAGGAAGTCAGAGAACGAGGGCACGTCTCGGGCAGACGCCAACCACTCCAACGCGTCCCCACCTGGGCAGACAGGGCGGTGCGGGCCTGTCCTTCCCCAGCTACTTGGGAAGGTTCCCCTAGTTTGGGGGTTTTTATTTCTACCTTTTGTCCACTTAAGTATTGGGAGTTGGGGCCCTGGCATGCTGGTCCCGGCTGCCTGCCCTTCCAGAGTCTTCTATCCTGTCTGGACACAGCACAGCAGGCACAGACCCTCTGGAGAGCCCTCCGGCAGGGAGTTCTGAACTACGATGGAACCCAGACTCTGGACTCCCCGCCACCGGGGAGGAGCCAGCCCTCCCGGGGCAGCACCTGCCCCGCCTCCTGCTGCGGCCCCGCCCCCCACTCACCAGCCCTCCTCCCAGCAACTCCACCAAATGCAAGCCCCCCCCCCCCTCGCTCCTGCCCTGTGACTTCACAGGCTATTATCCCAGGAAGAAGGCTTCCGAACTAGACAGCTTGTTCCAGGACGCTGTCTTAAGTAGGCCGGAATGTATCTGGTCAAACGGCCCTTTGGAACGGGGCTTTCAGCAGAGCCTTCTTTGGCTGCGTGGAAAATACCCACAACCAGTCTCTTTATGGGACCTCAGTAATTCCACAAACCAGGGGGAGGGGAGGCACAGAAAACCCAAAAGATGCAGAGGACGCGTGGCCCAGTCTGGACCCTGATCTTAGCCATGCAGGGCGTGGCGCCTGAGATGGGTGGGGACAGACAAGGGCACAGCCAGGCCCCGGATGACACTGAGGAACTGTGCTTGGTGTGGGGGGCAGGACACAGGGTTTGGTCTGTCCCGGGGTCATCTTCTGTGAGGGAAGCAGTGTGGCATTTAGGGTGAGACCGGACGCCCGTGAGGGACTAGCTGTGACAGGTGCCCAGGACAGACAGGAAGTGGGGGGACAGTGTCTGACACTGGGGACAGGTACTGGGGGCTCGCTGTGCGGCCACCTCCCTCTGAACGTCCCGGACACTCCTCACACAAAGCAGACTCCAATGACGTCGGGAGACCATCCTAATGACACACCAGGCACCAAAGAAACTTGGTGGAGAACAGGGCACAAAGTGAAGCACGGGGGGGGGGGCGCGTGGCGGCCCGGAGACTGGCCTGCGCTGCACTTGGGGGTCAAGAGAGCCAGGCGGGGAAAGGGGCGGAGCCCTGAGATGACAACGGCCTGCTGACAGCACGTGGGCCCGGGCGTGACGGCTGTCCTGTCGTGCTGTGCGTGGAGCACACGCCCTTTTCCTGGAAACACTGAAATGACGGGGCCCCGCTCACTGAACAGAGCCCGTGACCCACGAACAGAGCACAGCACCAGCGGGCCACCATCCTCCGAGAACACCTACTCGCAATTCCGGGAGAGCCCTGGTCACCGCGCCAACCCCCCAGATTCCCGGAAGTCACCGGGAGCTCCTGTGATGACCCTCTGGGCTGTGTCACCGGCGCTGCAGGAACTCCGGTCCCAGGAAGTCAGAGAACAAGAGCACACCTGGGGGCGGACGCCAACCACGCGAACGCGTCCCCACCTGGGCGGGCGGGGCGGTGACCGGCTCCCGCCGCCCAGGGCCCAGGCTGTCTGCAGGGAGCGGCTGTCCCTCGGAAGGCAGGACGAGCCTGACAACCGGCCCCTGGCCCGCGCCTCGGCGGGACGTCCTCCCCAGCCGGAGCCTCCGGGGACGGTTTCTAAGGGCCGACGCCAACACTCGCACATCCAACCCTGTGGATGACCCGGGCCCCGTCATACAAGACGCACCTGGGAGGCACAGGAGCCGTCACGGAGCCAGACACGTCCCCTCTGATGACGTCCCAGCTTCGACATCAAAGGGGTTTCTCCAGAGTGGACAGAGTGCTAACAGGTGCCTGAGGCCGGCCACCGGGCTCCACGCTGCGAGGCCACGGAGCTGAGGCCTGTTACTCACCGAGAAGCCAGGGAGGCCCCGTGTCACTGAGCCCCGAGCAGCGGGCCTCAGATGTCCCCCCATCATCTGGGCTCAGCCAGGTGAGCAGGGAGTGAGGCCCTCCCGCCCCTAAGGCCACAGGGGCCACCACGACTCTCCACACAGGCCTCTGTCCCCGGCACGTGGAGACCAAGACCAGAGCGAGAAGAGCCTGTGGGCCCGGCGGGGAAAGGAAACAGGCGGGTAGTCCGAGCCGCTGGGGGCTCACCTTCAAACCCCTCCTGGTCACCAGGCTGTGCAAGGTCTTGTTATTCAGATCGAAATGGCTGCAGACGTCCCTGGCGGCCTCGGGGCCCTGGGTCACCATGGCGGCCATGAGGTTCAGGCAGGCCCGAGCCATCCTGCAGGGGACAAGGAGGAAATGAGGCTGGCTGGGGCGAGCTGGTGCGCTGAGCCACCTGCGGTCTGCTGTCCCCAAATCAGAAGAGGGAGGGAAGGAGATAAGCAAGCATACTTAAAAAAAAAAAGCCCTAACAAAAACTTCAAATAAGGAAAAAACCCTGAGTCTGAGGAGGACCCAAGAATACAGGACGTGAGCTAGAAAGACGGCCACTCTCCGTCCAGGCAGTTGTTCCCTCTGCAGGCCCCGACCCCAAGGTCGGCCCAGCACCCCCTCACACTGGGCACTGTGTCAGGTGCCGGGAAGGTGGTCGAGGCCCTGACCGGCACCCTGTGTCCCAGCGGAGGGAGGAAGACAGTCGGCAGGCTGACGTGGCTGTGACCTTGAACCAGAGCGGTGCAAACACGTACAAATGCATGTCTTCCTATGCAGGCTAAAGAGTCAGAGAGCAACCATGGACGGAGGAGGCTCCAAGGCCTCCCTGAGGGCAGAAAGGAAGGGAGTCGTGAAGGTCCCGGAAGGACTGTCTGGGCCACTGGGCAGCACAAGCGATGTCAAGAATGCCCAGAGCGACCCCAGCACAGCAAGGAGGGCAGCCAGACAGGAGGGACAGCGACCGTGGTGGAGGAGTCCACGAGAGCGGGCAGCCCCAGTCCCAGACAGGGCTCAGCTCCATGCCCCGGGAGGGCAAAGCGCAGACACACCGTGGGGAACTGCCCGAAGCCAGCCTGACGCCCGCGCTGCCGGGCACAGGCGTGACCTACCTGTAGCCCGAGGCGTACAGGGACGCACAGATGAGCTTCATGTGGCTGTTCAGTAGCTTCTTCACAATGTTGGTGCCCACAGTGTGCAAGTGAGACAGGTCGCTGGCCGTCCGCAACAATATGGCCTCGAAAGCTTGAAGTATTAACAGCATCTGCAGAGACCGTTGAAATGCCCGTGAATCTTCTCACTTCTCTCCCCCCCACAGACCTGCTCCTGCGTTCGCCAGCCACGTGCAGGTTGAAACCCCCCACCTTGCAGGATGGGACCCCTAGATCCTGAGCCAAAGGCAGGGAGGGCAGCTGGAATTCCGCTGGTTCCCACAGTCATGCTACACAGAGAATTGCTTGCTTACGACCACAGCAAACGAGTGACCAGAGAAACCTCTGTCTGCGCCTGGGCCTCCCTGCTTTGGCGATCCTCAGCTCTGCAGCCTCCCACAGCGACCCTGAGACGTCCGTCAGCAGGCCCTGAACAGCCCCAGCTTTGACCTTCTCTGGGACCAGGCCACAAGTCAACTCAGTGTGTGTCTGCATCCGCGACACACAGTTTTTGCCCTGCTCTTAAAAGGAATGACGTCGAAAGCCAGGGCCTTTGGATTAGGAACCCGTGACCCCAGCTGACGGCACATTCACTACTAAGAAGTGCTTCCCACTGCAACGCTTTCGAAGGTCCCGTGGCGAGCGACACTGCCACACAGCACGCGGCCGAGGCACCGCCTCCTGCAGAGAACGCTGGCGGTGACTGGAAAATGTGCGCACTAGGCCACGTATGGCTCCACGCCAGGGACTTGACAACCCCGTGCATGGTGCGCACACCACGTGGAGCACACCGCACAGTGCTGCGGCGCAGCGCACCTCTCCTCCGCAAGCGCGACACCGCCGCGGCGACACGAGCTCCTCCTCCTCTCCGTCGGGCAGGACAGGGGAACGTACCTCACTTTCCGGCCGCTTCTCCCCACTCAGGAGCTGGAACACCTCCGCACACTCGACAGAAATCTTGATGTAGCCCTCCACGACGTCGTGCACGTCCTCCCGGGGCAGCGTCTTGGCCACAGAGACGAACGCTTCCAGGGCTGAAACAGCAGCGTCCACGTGTTCGCAAGGACGGTCTCCCCAGAGACCGGGTCTGCACCCGCCTGGCCCGCAGCACTCTGCTCCCCACCCCCACACCCGGGGGCGCGATCAGAGAGCGAACACAGAAAAGGTGCTGTACCTCCCTCTACCTGTGCATCTGCACATACATTCAGCCTTAAAAAAGGAAATCCCGCCTTTTGCAACATGTACAGACCGTGACGGCATTAGTGAAATAAGTCAGACAGACAGCTGAAAAAAGCTGCCCCACAGACACAGAGGGGAGAGGAGGCTGCCAGGGCAGGGACGGGGTGGTGGAGGGAAAATGGGGGGATGCAGGTCATAGGGTGCAAACCTCTAGCTGTGAGGTGAGTACGTTCTGGGGGTCTGGCGTTCAGTGTGGAGACTCTAGTTAACCGTACTGCATTATGTACTTGCCAGTGTTAAGAGAGTAAGTCTGAAATGTTCGCCCCGCAAAAAAGGTGATTATGTGAGGGAGCGGCCTTGTCAACTAACCTTCCTGTGATCACAACATACACATGCATCAGATCATTGCGTCATGTACCTTAAACTCACACGCGTGTCACTAATATTTTAATGCACCTAGAAACAACACGTCCCTAATGCCTGGATGGAGACAAAGTCCCCTGACATCTACCAAGTCCACTTCCAGGGGAGGCCATGCCACACCACAGGAAGTGACAGCAGTAACCAAAATGGAGGAGGATGCACGCTGGAGACCAGACTCACACACAAGCCCACCCAGCCCCCCCGGAGATGAACACCGTCACACCCCCAGCCTCTCACCTGCACTGCACAGCCGGTGTCCACGGAAATCTGTACAGATGTGCACCTGAGTGTCAGGAGACTCTCGGAGCACAACCACACGTATGTGGCTTTCCTCTGGCATTGGGTTCCTGTCCCTGTCACCCTGCCCCTTCCTGCAACTGTGCTGAAAAGCCATGTCCTCAGGGAGCCTTCTTGCATCTCCCAGATGAGACACAGGCCCCTGGACACCAGGACGGTTCCCAGGTGACTTTCTGCATTCATCTGCTGTCCCCATTGGACTTCGTGTGAACTCACAATGGCCATGGCCCTGTCTGATTTTTTACTCACCATTTTCTCTCTCCCCTAAAACATAACGAACACATGAACGAGTGAATGAAAACGTGTACGTCTCCGCTAAAGCAGGCCTCATCGACCCAGCACTGCTTAGCAGTGGCAGGCAGTGAACATTTACAGAAAAAATCCGTTCTGCACAAACGGGAAATCCATCGAGCCTATTCTGGCCATTGCTTTAACAACGTCTTTACCCAGGGAGAAACCCAGTGATTTTGACACAGCACCAGCGTTCCACACAGTGGCAGTGCAACTGTTTCCCCGTACGACCTGCCTTTCTAATGGCCCTGTGAAGGGCATCGCCCTTTCCCAAAAGTGAAGTCATAGCGTCTGCTCCCTGTCGGTCACGGGCCCAGTTTCAGCCAGCTGACAAGTCCCGGTGGAGGCCCCAGTTTGGGTGAGGTTGGGGGGCCAACGCTACTGCAAACTGTGCCGACCGCGGCAGTGAGCCGCCGGCGTCACCGTCGGGACACGATACATAGTTGTTGTGAACCGCTACACTTGTTTCCTTTCCTAACAACTGCAGGGAAACGGCTTTAGAGTTCGCCAAGGGGTGCTGTGCTGCCCCGGCAAGGGAGACGTGTGGCCGCTTGGAGCTGTCACAAGCACACCAGTCGGCCTTCCAGGGTCGCGGACCGCACGAGGCAAGGAAGCGCCGCGCACCGTCCCCGAGAGGGCCTGGACCCCTGAACGCCTGACCGCCGGGGCCTCGGTTTCTCGTCTGCAAAATCAGGAGGGGAGGCCCTGGCCCGCGGCTAACCCTAGAGCTGCAGAAAGCAGGAGCTGCGCCTGGGACACGACGACCGGTCCCACGCCGCGGACACCCCGGCCAGAGGGCCGCTTCGCACGCAGGTGCTCCCCGGCGGCGGCCCGCCCGCACTCACCCGGCCCCGCGGCTTGCGGGTCCTTCAGCTGAGTCTTGAAGCGCACGCCCGTGAGCTCTTCGGTGCGGGTCCGCTTGGCTGCGCCCGCGGCGGACGCCACGCCGTCTGGGCCGTCCGGGGCCTTCCTCTTGGGGACACCCATGGCCAGCGGGCGAGGCCGCGCCGGGTTCCACACCTGCAGACCTGGTGCGAGGACTCACTGGCCGCAGGTGAGGACCGCAGCCGACACGTGCGCAGGAAGGGGCGGAGCCTGGCGGAAGTTGCGGGGGCCCCGGAAGAATGGCAGGCGGAAGGGGCGGGTCTAGGTCGGGGCCCGGCGGAAGGGGCGGGGTCTGCGGTGGGCGGGGCTGTGGGCGGGGCCTGTGGAATGCACCCGCGGGCTCGCTAGCAGCTCGAGACCAGCGGATTCTGCACTAAACCTACGGCCTCAGCGGCTCTCTCGAGTCCCTGGCGGAAAGAACCCGGATCGTTTGCTCCCGCAGGGCACGAGGCCGGGCGCGCCGGAGCAGCAGCGCCGGCTCAGTTAGCGGTATCCCTAGGAGAACTTGCGTGGCCCGTGGTGGGATGCCTGGCCCCTTGGGGGCACTACGAGTTGGCCAGGAGGTGTCAGAGCCCCGCTAAGTGCCGGGCGGGCTGATGCGGGAGGTTCTTGCACCGGCTAACCGGGGCCTAGGGTCGTGCACACACCCCTAACCGTGATCTGCAGCGCCTCTCACACCCAGAACCAGACTGACCTCCGCCCCCAAACTGATGGGAGGACGTGAGTGACCCCGTTCAGTGTGCATGGTGGGAGGCACGGAACAAGCGACCTGATGTCTGCCGCGGCTCCTGTTGGACAGTGCGGCGGCCTCCACGTTCAAGGTCCCGTCCTTCAAACGGGGACCGCAAAGCCAGCCCTACCTAACCGCGGGGGAGCCCTGAGCTGAGAACGCCATGCAATGTGTGAAAAACGGCTTTGACAGTGCGGGGGAAAGTATTGGGTGTTTTTGCAAGACCTTGTTGACTTGAGAGCCGCATTAAATGCTCTGAAATAACATGGAGGTATACATGAATAAAGAAACTGGGCCTGTGCGTTTTTTTAATGGCTTCATCAATGCTTGGTTCTGTGCTCCAGTAGACCATGAGCCAGCTCCTTAGATGAGGAGTCTGGTAGTTCCTGCAGTCCTCTCTCAGGCTCTCCTCCACTTTCAGGACACTCCTTCTTGTGCTCTGCACACGGGTGTGTAATGAGCATCCGAGCACATGGCCTTGTGGGGCCTCTTGGGATTTCAGAATCTTGTAGAAGAAGCTTATGGTGTGGACCCTGAGCCTCTGGCCTGGCCTGACTGTCGTACCCATGGAGATGCCTGTGTCGTAGGCGGGTCAGAGGGACTTGCCCTGTAGGCATGAGCTGATGGCATGTAGCAGAGTTAAGAGACAGACAGGGACAGGCTCAAAATCTGGGCTGCAGAGGACAGTGCTCTCAGAGGTAAAGAGAGAGACTTCATTCTGGTTCTCTTCTGTGGTTAACTGCCCACCACCCAGTTCTCATCCAGGGTGGACCTGACCCAAGAGGCCATGGCAGGAGGAAGGAAGCACTCCAAAGCCCTGCATCCAGGTCCCGCCTGTGTGACTTTGGGCAAATTACCCTCCTTACCAAGCCTTCCAGAGGGTGAGGGAGCTCGCCAGTGCGACGCAGCTGCTGTGTGCTGGAGGTGCTCACCCAGGGGACCCTACGATGTAGAGGCAGGTTGTCAGTGCCCTTCCCGGCCTGAGCGAGTGACGGAGCCAACGGGGCGTGGCTCACAAGTGCCCAGGGTGCTCGGGCTGAGTTGGCTTGCTGCAGCTCGCCCACCCCCTTGTTCTGATGCAGGCTCACCAACCGTGTGCACAGGGACAGGCCTGTCTACAGGAAAGACCTGCCTGGGCACAGGGGACCCAGAGCGTTCTGGCCTACTGAAGGTAGACATCATCGCTGCCAGGACAGTCTAAGTAGGCACCCACCTGAGGGCCGGTCCCCGTGCTGTCCCCTCTGAAACTCTGCCCGGACCTCAGGGGGCTCCCAGTCACTTCACGTGGGCTCTTCTTCCTGGGCTCACATTCTGAATCTTCTTACCCGTGTCTACTTCCCCGTATTGCTGTTCTCACCAGCTGGCGATGGCAGCCGTTTGTCTGTCAAACTCTTGTACTGAACGTGCACCTGAGATGGCACAACACTGTTCAGTGCTCCGTTCTCACCACCTAGAACAGGGCTGCCCGTCAGGGGCTCTGTGAGTATTGGCTGAATGAAAGAAATGACCACACAGACCTGGGTCTTGAGCTCAGTTAATGTCGGTCTATCCAAAAAGGTAAGCTGACCTTTGCAATGCTGTCAGGAAGCCTCGGGATGCAGGTGTTTGTGTCTATGAGCTTGTGAACTGGGCCCTGGACTGGAGTAAACAAGCCAAGGGTGGTGCGCACCTTCTGATAGACGCCCGGTTCATCTCCTCATCACACGTGTTACATGTCAGTGTTGACTTATTCCCACCTCGGTCTTCTAAGTTCAAATGCAAGTTCTGGACAGATAAAAGGAGAAACTCAATCAGAGCCCATATCGAGTTCCTGCTAAGGCACGTCACCCATCGTGGACCCTGAAAACGTGGGAGGTAGGCATTGCGTCACACAAGACGGGGCTCTCTTCGGGGTTCTCGCCACGTTCTCTGTGCGTGCTGATGCGGTCACGCTGCGGGGGAGAGGTGTGCAGTTCCCTTCCCTGTTCTGGGCCACTTTTAATGTCTCTAGAGGTGAAAGTTTCTGTGTAGCAAATGTTTACCAAAGTCAAAACAGTTCCATTTTCTGCTTGTTCAGCAGTGAGGAGGACGAAGTGTACTTTCGGAGACAGTCACATGGACTGCACTGAAGGACACAGTGTCCACAGGCTGGAAAAGAGGAGTGGACCCTGCAGGGCCAAGTCCACAGAGCGCAGTGTTTCCATGCGTGTCCCGCCGTCCCGCCCACCGTAACAGACTCAAAACGAGTCGTCTCAGACCAGGATGGTCTTATTCCTTAAACAGCAAGACAGGGCAAAAGTGCACTCAACGTAGTAGACGTCACGACACCAATGACAAATTCCAGAGCTATTGCAAAGACTGGACTAACGTCTTCATCATTAGAAATATAAGAAAATATAGAGAATTTGAGTAACACTGTATTCTATCAATCAATAATGAGAGAACGTTACGCCCAGAGACAGGATACATGTACTTTTTAAATAACACGGAACAGCGATAAAAGTTGACTGTGTTCGCCCTGGCTGGTGTGGCTCAGTGGATTGAGCTCAGGCCTGTGAACCAAAGGATCCCAGTTAATTCGCAGTCAGGGCACATGCCTGGGTTGCAGGCCAGTTCCCAGGAGGGGATGCACGAGAGGCAACCATACATTGATATTTCTCTCCCTCTCTCCTTCCCTTCCCCTCTAAAGGGAAATAAATTTTTAAAAACTTTAAAAAATAGACTATGTTCTAGGCCACAAAGGAGATCCCAATAAATTCCCCCCCCAAAAAAATCAACAGCATACCGACCATGTCCTCCAGTCAGCAAGCGATAAAATCAGTCCTTGATAGTAAGAGGATGGGCTTTTTAAAATCCAGTAAGCGTTGGGTGGGGGAGGGTGTTGGGGAGAGCTAAGTAATCTTTGGAAAGCATCAGGGAAAGGACTGTGAAGGACTTGGGATGGAACACAGAGTGAAGTGCTAATCAGCAGGTGGGGAACGGTCTCAGAACTGCATGTCCCACATGGGCATTTAAGCTGAGTAGTAGGAACTGGCTAATGGCAATAATGCATTTAAGACTTGCGGAAGGAAGGGAGACCTTTGTGGACCATTCGTGTGTGTGTGTGTGTGTGTGTGAGAGAGAGAGAGAGAGAGAGAGTTTCAAGTTATTTGTTTTTAAAACAAGAAACTTTTAATGGAAACACTTTGACCAAAAATATGTTGCAGAATTTTGAGAACAATTAAAACAAAGTTTGAGAAGGGAGAAAACAGAGTGGCACCAAAACTCAGCAGGAAACTAATGGTGCGGTCGGTAGCTTCCTGCAGAAATGGAGGTGCTGGTGTCATTTGGTTTCAGGGTGGAGAGATGGCAACGTGCACCATGGCTGCACACACCCCATTAGTGAATGGTTTAGGTGATTTAAGAATAAAATAAAAATATGTTTTCTCTCTATTTATGTGTATTTTATCTCAAATAGCTATTGTTGGAACATAAATACTTATTAAGTCATTTGGATCTAACTACTTAATGAATGTAACAGTTTGGGGTTCTGTTGTTTTGTTTTATTGTCTCTTTTTTTACTTCACTTTTATTGTCGGCTCTATTACAGGTGTCCCCATTCTGCCCCCACCTTTGCCCACTTCCCTCTGGCCATCACCGCGCTGAGGTCTGTGGCCATGGTTTATGCCCATGTGTTCCTTGGCGGCTCCCTCTACCGTCTTTCATCCAGCGGCCCCGCCCTCTGACAGCTGCCAGTCTTCCCGTGTGCCCACACCTGTCCCTATTTTGTTCACGGTGTCCTTTGTGTGTCGGGTCCCACACGTGAGTGAGAGCGTGTGGTGCTGCCTTGTTGCCTAGGAAAATCCCCGAGACACCAAGGACGCCGGGAACCGAGACGGTTCAGGGATCCCTGCTCTGTGCCCTCAATCAAACTCACTTCTGTGGATTCTGAATTCCTTCGGTGGACTTTGATTTGTTTTCTTTTCTTTCTGATAAGCTTTCCCTTGGAAATTATCATTAAAAAATTCACAGTGTTTTTGTACACCCACGCTCATAGCAGCAGCTTGGCTGGATTGTTGCTCACACTCGCCAAGAGATGGCAGCAACCCAAGTGTCCGTCGGCAGGTGAACGGGTAAACAGCGTCTATACACACCGTGGAGTGTGTTCAGCCTTAACGGGCAAGGAAACCCTGACACCTGCTACGGTGTGAGTGAGCCTGGAGGACATCGTAGTGAGTGACAGAGCCCGTCACGAGAGGACCAACCCTGCATGACTCCACTTATATGAGGCCCACAGAGCGGCCAAGGCTAGGAAGACAGAAAATAGTGCCCCCAGGGGCTGGGGGGACCCAGGGGCTGGGGGAGGGGGAACTGGAAGCGAGGGTTTGCTGGGTGCAGAGTCTCCCCCCCCAAGGAGAAGTCCTGTGGAGGGACAGTGACGACAGTTACACAACGTCCTGAGTGCACTTAATGCCCCAAACTGGACACTTGAAGTGACTAAGATGGTAAATTTCATGTTATGGATATTCTACCACGTTAAAAATTGAGGGGTCAGGGCATTTTGTGGGCCCTGTGCCTTTGGGAGACACAAACTAGGATTCTCACCCACAGGGGGCGCCGTTGGTGGCTGCCGGGGCACGCCCTGGCCGGCTGTGCGCCCCGAGTCCTCCCCAAGCGCAGGCTCCCGCTCCCCCCGGCGGCGCCGTGCAGCGTCCGGGCCTCCCACCGCCCACCCGCTTCAGAGGCTCCCGCCGAGGGCTGTTTACCTGTGTCGAACAAGCAGAAACCAGCCGGACACAGACATGACCCCCTCCCCTTCCCTGATTCTGGGTGAGACCAGCACTTCGGGGACCGGCAGGGCCCGAATCACTCGCCCTTCAAAAGGAGGAGAGTCCAGACCCTGGAGGGCTCGGGGCTGAGGGAGGGAAGCCGGCACCGAGGCCCGCAGCTTCCGCAGCTTCCGCTTCAGTGAGGGCGGGGGGCGAGCTGGAGAGGGGTCGCGGGGCACACTCGCACTTGAACGCTTCCGGGGACCAGGGCTGAATCACCCACAGTGCTCCATGAACCCCCCAAATTTGTGCGTGCTGCATTCTTCTTCTGCAAAGAAAAAATATGAATATCATAGAAAAACCAATAGCACATACAAAAAATGGAAAAGATGTATTTAAGGAAAGCTCAAGGAGTGGCAAGGAATGAGCACAGTTTTAATCAATTTTCTTTCTTTTTTAAGATAGTTTATTCCTTTGTTTTTAGAGAGAGAGGAAGGGACGGAGAAAGAGAGAAACATCAGTGTGTGGTTGCCTCTTGAGTGCCCCCTACTGAGGACCTGCACTGCAGCCCAGGCATGTGCCCTGACTGGGAATTGAACCTGTGACCCTTATAATTCTCAGCCCGGCACCCAATCCACTGAGCTACGCCAGCCAGGACAGATTTAACTGATTTTCCAAAACCTACATCTAATCTAAATAGGCTATAGGCTTTTAGAGCACAAATGACCTTTCCAGTCGACCTTTTCATTTTGCAGAAGTGAAGTTCTGGGAGGCAGGGAGGCTGAATGCCTCCAGGTGGGTGGCCATTGGTGGCAGAGTACAGACTCCTGCACTCGCTGCCTTTGACCTTGGATGGACTGCACTGCAGACAGACACCAGCTGTGCTCAGTATTCTTAAAGGCCCCCTCGTGTGGGCTTTTGAAATCAGCCTTTCTAGTCGCCCGGAGTCTCGCACTCCAGTGAGCAGGCTCCCTGCTGTGGCGGCGGCTCTTTGGGGCCAGCCCGACAGACAAACTGCTGTTTGTTGGGCTCTAAAATAAGCCTTTTTAGCTCTGGACCGCAGTTGGCCTTGCTCCTGAGCTGAAAGGTTGGTTTCTTTGCGGCTGACAAATGGTGGTTTATATCTTCCCAGAAGGGCTTCTGCCCTCCTTTGTTGACCGCCTGAAGTCTTCTTACCTGGACGGCGCCGGTAGAGGAGAGGCGCAGGGCTGGGGTTCAGACACCGGCACAGGGGCATCTTCCCGAGTAGGCCTGGGAGGGGGGCGGGGGGGCTGAGAGCTGGGAAGGTGGGACAGGGTTGCTTCGAAAGAAAAAAAGGTGGGAATGAAGACATGAAAATACGACACCTACAGTCACCCCCCTTATCTGAGGGGACTCATCCTCGGACCCCCAGTGGGGGCCTGAAACCGCAGCCCCCCCCCCCCCGACGCTTTGCAGACCCTTCCTCTCACTAGCGCACACCGGCGGTGACTTTCCACCTGTCAATTATGCACAGCAAGAGTGACAACAAAAACTGGTAATGAGTTAGAAGACCTGTGACACTGCTGTGACAAAGGGCATGTGAATGTGGTCTCTCTCTCGTGTCTCCACACTGCATGGAGACGTCGGGCCACGTGACGATTCACTCCCCGCCAGGGGAGGGCGCAGACGGTGTGAGATTTCATCGCAACACTGCTCGGAATGGCACACACGGTAAAGCTTGTGAATGTTTCCAGAATTTTCCATGTCATATTTTCAGACTGCGGCCAATCGCGGTTAACGGGAACCGCGGAGAGCCCAAGTCCACCTGAGGGTTACGAGTGTCCTTCAGATGCCGGGCAAGGACGCCTCTCCCCCATAGAATGGGCCCGTCAGCAGGAAGGAGCCTGACCACCCAGTGGTGGCCTCGCCCAGCCGAGGAACCTCTCATGTGACTGTCTCTGGGCGTCCCTCCCCAGTGCCAGCGTTTCTGCAGTCTCGGTGGGTTTCACGTCGGAACCAGCACCCTGGGCCTGTGGCCTGTGCGGGGCTCAAGATGCCATCCATGCTCAGGGAGCCCCTGCAGGAGGTAACGATGCTCCCATCACCGTCCTGAAGTCCTGGGTCGTTCTCAAACTCTGGGCTCCACGTGTTTCTTTTGCGGAGAGTTGCGGGGCTGGTCCTGGCCAGCCTGCGTCTAAGCGTTGCTGTGAGTATGAGCATTTTGGGAGCATGTCAGTATTCGGCCCACCCTCCACCAGACTTCGATTCCAGCCCCCGTAACTGCTGAACAGCTAGGGGCTGCGCCCGCTTCTGCTGTTTTCGGCCCCATGGGGAAAGGGGAAGCACCTTGGTGGGGAAGGTGTCTGCCCTTTCTGCCCCAGGTGGCTTTTACGAGGCTTTCCCCTCCTTTGAAGGGCCGCTCACCTGCCCCGGGTTCCTGTCCTACAGGTTTTTATGGTGCCCCAAGGGTGGGTATTTGATTGTATAATAATTGGAGGCAGAGAAATGGGCAGGTGTCCAGGTGGTCGGGACACAGAGGGCTCCAGAGAAGAAGACGAATGGAGCTACTTCGTTTTCCTGCATGATTTCAAAATTCCTAAAGAGATCAGACGGAAACTAAAATCTGATGGAGCAGCTGAGGGGCGAAGTGGGGGGAGCCTCCGAGCGCCACAGCATCCTGGCCCCACTGCGAGGCCCACCCCCCCAAAGGCCTCTCTCACATGCCCACCTTCCCTCCTCTCTGCGCCCACTCGGCCGGCGCCACCCACACACAGCCTCAGAGTCACCCCCCGGGACCTCTGTGTCATTGTTGTTGCTTGATTTTTTAAAAATTATGTCTTTGTGGAGACATAATTCACACACTGCACAACTCGCCCCTTTCGAGTCCACAGGTGGGCGGGGTTTGGCCTGCCATGTCACTCACACCCAGGTCGTGGCAAGTACCTGCAGCGCCAGCCAGCGCGGGCGTGCCCTGCAGTGTGTGGGTGAATTTACACTGCGGTGCCACTGTCACCCCTGTGTGCAGAGCTTTTTCATCCCCCCAAACTCTGCCCCTTTCTGCCAGCTCTTGGTGTCTAATCTACTTTCTCTCTGAATTTGCTGAGTGTACAGGTTTCTCGTAAATGGGATCATACAACACGGATCACTTTGCGCGTCTGGCTCATGGTGCCCAGCACAGCGCGTTCCGGGTTCACCCATGTGGTAGCATGTACCGAGGTTCGTTCTTTCCTGTGGCTGAACACTCTTCCACGACGTGTTTGCCCATCGTCCGTGGATCGATGAGCCCCGGGTTGCTCCCGCCTTTTGGCGGGTGTGGCCAGGGCGGCCTGGGCATGGGCGGACGCGAGCAGCACCTGCCGCAGCCCCTGCTTTCGGTTCTTTGGGGTGTGGGGCCTCTGAGCCCCTTGGGTCCCGGTGCACCGGGCAGCCAGGGCCTCTCACGGACACACACCTGATGTGTCCCTCGTCTGCTCACACTTCTTTGCTGCGTGAGGTAACGACGGGTCCCCGAGCTGGGGCTGGTGCCCCTGTCCCACCCCCTGGGCCTCCCCTTTGCTCTCCACCCCAGCCCCCCCAGACTTGTCTTGTGCTTCTAGGGAGCTGTGCTTCTCTCGGATTTCACACATGCCGGACGCTTTTCCTCACGTGGCTGCCCTTCCAAACACCTGGCTTTTGACCCGCCCACTCTCCCCATCTTTCCCACCCCTTTTGCCCTAAAAGGGCCCCCACTTCCTGCCCTCTTTGCCTCTGTGGGGCCCTGTGGTCCGCCATGACCAGTGGACTGAGCACATACTGGTTCCGGGTGGCCCTATCTGCATCACCCACATGGAGCCTCACAGACAGACAGACAGACAGACAGCCTGGGGACTTCAGATAAGGGAGCCTGGGGGTGTCGGCTGCTGGTCACAGTGCCTCCGGCACACACCGAGGGGGCAGCGGTGGCAGAACCCAGGCCCGAGGGATCAGGCCTGCCCTGTGCCACATCCTCGCCCCTCGCAGGGCTCCGCCCCACAGGGGATGGGTGGTATCGAAGCTGGATGGGGGCGGATGGGGCGGATGCAAGCCCCAGGGGGTCTGAGTGCAGGCCAGCGTTCCTCACTGAGTGGCTCCCGGGTGCTAGGCAGTCTCACCCCCACCCCGCCCCCGCCTCAGTGTCCCCCGCCCGGAAAGCACACACCATAACGTCTCCGGGTTACTGAGAAGGCTAAGGACTTTAAAAATCATGGGGCCTCGCAGACGAGGTGCTACTCAGTAAGTGCGGTTGGACCCGGAGCCCAGTTCCGCCCGACGGCCTCTGCTGGAGCACCGCGCGGGACCCAGGGTCACCCAACTCTCTGGGACCCCTGCCGCCGCCTCTAAGAGGGTCCCACGGGTGGCGGGGCGCGCCCTGTCTTCTCCCGGGGGGCTCCCTGCCCCACTGCGCAGCCTTCTCAGAGCCTTCGCAGCCGGCGGCTGGGGCAGCGCGCCTGGTCCCACCCTTGGGTCTCATTAGCTAGTTTCCGCGTCAGGCCCGCCGCGAACTTGGCAGGCCTCCTCGCGGTGTTCGGGGACACTTTGTGCCGACAGCCCGGGGCCGGGCCCTCCTTCCTCCCGCCGGCGCGGCCGGGCCCGGGACACCCCGCGCCCTCCGCGGGGTTTGGGGAGCTGCGGCCCAGGTAGCCGCAGCCCGCTTGGCCACGAAGCCTCCGCGCCCTGTCCTCGGTCCCCCTCCCCGCCCAGCCCGGGTCGCTCAGTGCGCTCCTCGCCCACAGACTGGATGTCCACTCGGGGGGGGGGGCACATTTCGCGTAATCAAGAAGTTCAGGAAGATGCTGTGGCCTATTTTAAAACAAAGCCCAATTATTAGCCCCACGGCGGCCGTTGATGTCGGTCCGGTGTCAGATCCTCTAAGAGCTGCGCACAGCCAGTGCCGGAGGAAGTCAGCCGGGGCCCTGGGAGACCGGCTCCGGAGCCGCCCGACACGCTTTGACACGCCCATCCTCACGCCGCCGCCCCCCCACCCCCGCCCCCGTCCCGACTCATTCCCGTCCTACTGCGTAAACTGGCCAACGATCGGGGTCTCAGTCTCCTCCTCCGTGAAATGGGGGTGACTACGTGCTTGGTGATTCTGCAAGGGTCGCAGCGATGTCCGTGTCTCACCTCTAGGACCCCACCTTCCGGCAGCCCCCGCCCGGGCCTCGGCCCCGCCCCGGGGCGCCCAAGCTCACCGCGCGGCGCTGGCTCCAAAGTGCGTCACGGGCACCGGCCGCGCTGCTCCCGCGGCCAGGGCGAGGCTGGCACCCAGCCAGCGCGGGCCGGGCCAGGGGTGCCAGGCCGGCTCAGGGGCGGGGACCGGGAGTGAAAGGCGCTCTAGTTGCGCAGTCCTCGGCGCGCTGTTGGGGGCACCCTCCGCGGCGGGCATCGTGCCAGGGACCAGCCCCCGCAGCCGCGGGGCGCGCGGGGCTGCACTTTCCCTTCGGCCCCCCTCGTTTCCTCCCGCGCCGCGGCCGTGGCGGAGATTTCCTCTCGGGGAAACTACGCGGATCCTTCCCGGGGCTCCTCGCCCCGCCCCAGTTCTCCGCCCCCTCCCCTTTGCTGGGGAGCGGGTGCGGGCAGAGCCGGGGAGGTGGCGGGGGGCCGCGGAGCCACTGGCCACCAACTCGCCCGGCCATGTGACGCAACTCTCAACCCAGCAAACCCCGGCGCGTCCTGGGCCCGCTGCCGCGCCCCGCCGCGCCGCGCACCATGCTCTTGCCGGGACCCGCGCGCCCACCGCCCGCGCCCCAGCCGGCGCAGCATCCCGGCCTCCGCAGGCAGGTAGAGCCACACGGGCGGCTCCTGCGCCTCTTCTGCTGCACCGTCCTGGTCTGCTCCAGAGAGATCACGGCGCTCTCGGACTTCTCCGGTAAGAAGCGTCCGCCGTCACGGTGCGCCTTGGCGCGCCCAGGTGAGCCCCCCCCGCCAGGGGCAGTCGCCCGACGGGGCTCGCCAGAGTTGGATTGAAGTTGGGGTGCGCTCATAGCCAGTTTTCTTGCCTGTTTTGAGCCCTTAGCATATAGGTGGCTGTGTGTGGGGTGGTGGCAGGGGAGCTCCCGGGGGCCCTACCTGCCTGCGGAGGTACATCATCCACCCCCAGATGGAAGGGTGGGTCATGTATTTGGAGTTTGTCCCCGCGCGGTTGACCTCAACCTCCTAGCATCAGCCGCTCGACTCCGATGGATGCCTGCCTGCAGGCTGGAGGCTCCCTGAGCTGAGCCTCCAGCCGCCCAGCACTGGGAGGTACACGTGCTGTGGTCGGAAGGGGGCACCGGGGGTGCCACCCACACAGTCCCCTGCGCCCCAGCCAGTCTCCAGACACCCACACAGGGAGACAAGCCCAGGGCTCACCTGACCCGAAGTCTGTGCCACCTGGTCTGAGGAAAGCCCCAGGGACAGAAGGTCGGGTGGAGAGGTGAGCAGCAGCTTGCAGAACAGAGTGGAGACTCAGGTGGCAAGAGCACTTTCTGGGCAGATGACAGCTACCGGAGCCGCCTTCCCCGTCCCCCGCTGCCCTTGCCTAGTGAACCGAACATCCTCGCAGCTGTGACCACCGTGGTCTCCCTCTGGCGAGCCTTCACCCTTTGCCAGCTCAGGAAGCCGCGCTGAGCCCCATCTCCCGAGTTCCAGCATCGTCTGTGAGTCCAGGCTTTGCACGTTCCTGGGGGGCCCCGCCTGCGGGGTCTTTGGCATTGAAATTGTGGGGACGGGAGCCAGCCCCCAGTCCTGTGCAGTAGACTGACCAGTATGTGGCAGAGAGCACTGGCAAACCAGAGGCTGAGTTGGGTTTCTAGTTCACTCACAGAGAATGTCATTGTTAGCCGAGAGTTCTTAGGTCAGAGGTTCCTTTCTCTGAATATTTAATATCAAGGCAGAGTTTCTACTGAGCAAAGGAAGCCAAGATATGCCTATTTGGCAAGCAAACCGTCGCCTTTAGAATTGAACACCACAGGGTCAGAGCACCGGGGTAAATGTGCTAGGGAAATGCTTTTCCAGTGCTATTGACTTTTTTTTTTTGTAATAGAACTTTCTTGGCTGCTAGAAAAGTTCTCTATTTGCTGATCCGAGCCTCAGAGAGCAGTTCTGAATCCAGCCCCCTCGGGCTCTGCACGCTGTGAGGGGAGAATTGAAAGTGGTCAGGCCCTTTCGGCTACACTGTTGCAACTGAACAAATATTGCTTTAGGTGAACTGCGGGCTGTAACTGTTGGATTGTTTGCACAGATTACAGGCACTTGTGGCGTCTGGGGTTACCACCCAAGCCTTGAAGTGTCCACATGTAGCAACTGTTACAGACGGTGAACTGAGCTATGGAATGGGCAGGCCGTGCCCCAGGGAAATGCACGCTTTGATGCCTGTTTTCTAAATGACATACGTGGGAAAAGGAATTTCCTTCAGCTCTCGGTGGGAACCCCCAGCGCAGGGTTTAAAGCTCCGGGCCGGTGGTAGGGGGTGGTACTGCTGGACTCATCCAACAGCCTCGCTCTCCAGAGACCTGCAGGCTACGGAGGAAGGGTCAGGGGGCCTGGGGCAGGGGGTAGGAAAAAAAAAACCAACGTCCTCTCGAACCACAGACACACTCAAGTCGAAGTCTAAATCCTATGTTGTGTGGCATCTCGAAACGCTAGAAAAGGCTTGGGGGGAAAATGCAGCCTCTCAAAGCTGATTAATTTGACCCGAAACTTAACGAACCTTTAGGGGCCTCCTCACCACGTGAAGCGCAGCCTTGAGCAAAACCCCTAAGCTCCAGAGACCACAGGCTGAGTGTCCAGTCGAGTCACTTAGCTCAGGCAGTGAGTCTGGGTCACCTGACTCCACCCCACCCCCACCCCCTCCAGGGCCCTCCAAGCCTGGTGCCGGCTCCCCCGGGGACAGGCTGCTCTGCTCCTTCCTGTGAACTTGGACATGTGAGTGTGACTGTGGCCTCTCCCCCCAGGGAGACTTACAGCTGTAAATCCACGCGGGAGAACAGCGGGCAACGCCGACATCTGTTCTTACAGACGAGGGGACATCAGACACCGACAGCGAGGGAGGCTGGGCGAGCTTGGGACCCCTTCCACCCTGCGAGGAGGGGGCGGAGGAAGGACGGCGTGTCCACCAGAGAGAGAGAGAGAGCTGGGGCGTTGGGGACCCGGGCTGTCTGCGGGGGACAGGGCTCGTCCAGAGCGTCACAGAGCAGAGTCTGGGGAGTCACTTCAGTCTTTTCGGCTCTGCTAGGGCCTTCTCCTGGGTCACTGATTTTTTTTTTTTGCCCTGGGGATTCCAGCTTCGCATCTCCCTCTTCATAAGCCAAAGGGTGCAGGGTGCCCCTGCCCCGATGCGCTCGTGACCTGTGCTGATGGCCTCCAAGCTTGCTGGGGGACAGCCCCCCCACACACACCCCTCCTCCCTCCTCCCTGAAGATCCCGAGGTGCCGCAGGGCTGCTGGAAAAACACCCGTCATCACTGCATTCAAAGCGCATCCCAGGGAGGCCGCGGCAGCCCGCGCAGTCAGGGCCTCTGGTCCCCGATTCCGCTCTCCCGGGCCCTGGGCGCCCGTCCACTTTCCTCCTTGGTGTGGGGCTCTCTGCTTTACACTGCATCCCCACATTGGGGATTTGGCTTGAGAGGTCAAAACTGATCACAGATTGAAAAAAAGAAGAAGAAAAAGAACTATAGCATCAGCATTGCCTTTGCCCAGACACAAGGCAGGGGCTCGGGCTGAGAGGAGGAAGGGGTTCCGTGTGGTTCTGGCCGTCACGGGCAGGGGCCCTCTCTCCACCTTTGGCCCGGCCCCCGAGAGCAATGCTCTGCTGGGTCCCTACACCGAGCTTGCCATCCCTCTGTTGTTGTTCGGGTTTTTGGTGGTTTTTTGGTGGCTTTAATCTCTGTTTTCTCTCTGGTGAGGGCAGGCAGGGTCTTCTCTCCCTGCTTCTTATTCTCTCTCCTGTTCCTTTTCTCTCGTCCCACAGACGAGAGTGATGGGTGGGGGTGGGGGAGGAGAGGGTGGGAAACGGTTCCGGTTCCCACTCGGATTCCTCCGTGGAAGTGGCAGCGTGTGTTTACATGTGGGAAACTGAGGCAAGGGGATGAGGACCAAGGAGAGCAGGTGGCCGTCCAACCTCCTCTGCCCCAAATGTCCCCGGACCACAAGCCAAGGTGACTGCGAGGTGGCAGCTGCCCTCGTCCCTGCGGCAAATAAAGCCCCTCAGGCGTTGACCTAGAACTTCAGAATGTGGGAAGATGGCATTTCGGTTGGTTCGGGGCGAGGGGTGGGGGCTAGGTCCCTGTGGGGGGGGTCAGAATTGCCCACCGAAGGGGCAGTGACCCTCCCCGGGCCTGGGGTCTCCCTGGTCTGGGGAGATGCAGGCCCTGGCCTCCATTTTAAAGCCCCCGGGCCGTGCGGGTGCCGGCAGAGTGGGGAACCCCGCTCTAGAAGCATCAGCTCATCCACAGGAATGTGGGTGTGACCGGTGTCCCTTCACTTCTCTCGTGGGCTCACAGCCACAGTGTCCAGGGTGGCATCATCCTGGCTGTGCATTTGTCACCGAACCCCAGCACACATGTGCACACACATGTAAGGGCACACTCATGTCACCTCGTCCCTTCATTCAGGGACTGTCTTCACTTTCAAAACTTTTATGGTGTGAAAAGCCAGCTTGAACCAGAGACGAACAAATCAAACGTTGGGAGGTGCTGTCCAGCCGCCACAGAGGACAGGGGAAGACCACGCGCCTGTCCCTGCCAGGCTGCTCCTGTGGGAAGGACCCGTGTTGGGACAGTGACCTGTGGCAGAGGGCAGTCGGGCAGGCGGGCGGTCCCATCAGTGATGGCTCCTGGGAAGGGCAGGCTGGCGAGGGGGAAAGTCGGCTGAGCACCGCATGGCAGGGTGCCCCTCGCAGGAACCGGGGGTGGTGGTGAGCGTGAGGCACAGGTTAGCGTGAGTCCCGGCCTCGGAGCGGTGACCCGACCTCCCGAGGTGCCCCCCTGGGGAGCCGGGCTGCGTGGGTGCACGTGTGGGCGCCGTCTGTGAGCTCCCGGGGTGTCCGGCACGTTTCAGCTGCGCACGGAGCAGGCCGACCTTGACCTTTTCCGGTTCCCCCTTCAGCATCTTTGTCTCTCTCCCTGCAGAGAGGAGGCCTGCCCAGGGCCACCCCGCGGTGCAGGAGGGATGGGCTTCGACTTCTGTTCTTTTCTCTTTTCCATCCTACAAGGAGTTGTTTTTCTTATTAATAACATATTGATTGACAGTAGAACAGTACATAATTCATAAGTAAATGTACATGTGTTGGAGATGTGTTCTCAGAATGTTCTCACTGATGTTTCGTGATTTTAAAGATTTAGAGGCCCGTGGGCTCCTCCAGTCACCTGGTCAACACCTTCAAAGTTGTCAAAAAGGTGCCCCTTTGGGGTGACGCATGGGGGGGCAACTTCTACCCTCCGGTAACTGCCTGCCCCCTACCTTGCCCCGACTCCCCTCCCACAACTGCTACGGGAATTTAGAGGCAGGACTCAAACCCAGCACCCGCCTGGATTCACAAATCTGTACCCTTATCGTTCAAGCTAAGTAATGGCCCCGGGAGGTAGGGGCAAACAGACTCTGAAATCGTGTGATACCAGGTCACTATTTTAATGATGCTGGTGTGTTTGTAGTTTTCTGGAAGGAAATAGCTGCCCTTGATAATGCACACTGAGACGCACCGAGATTTAGTCCTGGAAGGAGAACCTCAGGTGGGACGGGTGGCCGGCCACGGGACTAGTCCCTTCTCTCCGAGCTTCTCCTTCCCCCCGGGGGGGGGGGCGCCCCCAGTTCTGCCAGCCCTTCGCCAGCGCCTCTCTCCGCACCACCTCAGTTAAAATCCGGCCCGGCGTAGACGGTGACTGCTTTACTCAGCTCCCCTCCGCACAAGTAAGAGAAGCTGGTGAGTTAAAAA